GGCAGAACTATAAACAAACCCCTAAGTGACCATCCAGGCTCCCATAGAGCAATCAGTACAATAGCAATACTATCCCGTGCTCTACAAGTCCTAGCATTCATCGCACCTAAGGTAAATCAATCTATACATACATATCTGACATTACACACGCGGGTGAAGCTGACAATACCCAATAAACAAACAAGATTTTGCAAACGTTCCAGCTTAAAACAATTGTCTAACGGGTGGGTAGTGTGACGTACGCCCGGCCCGAATCCGATGTGACTATACGCAGTTCTGAATCGAGCATGACGTCACAAGGACGTAGCGATACCACTCTCAGTCTCACCCTGCACAGAGATTTCCCAGCTCGCAGGACAACAATCTCAGGCCAGCAGACTGAGAGCGATCGTCAACAGGGTTGGTTAACTCCGCAGTTAACCCTTTACACACCAAACGCTCACTGCCACCACGTTCTTTAACGGAAGTACTCACCATTTCCCGCAAATGCTGCGGCCCTTAAACACTTAAACAACTTTAACAAACTTAAACTGTTTACTATACAGTAGCGCTCTTCACAATGGCAAGGATACTTTAAGTTCCTATTTAGAGCATAGAGATAAGCTTAATGATTTTTAAGATCGTCTGTTAATAAAAGAAACAGTGCCGAAAAAATATATAGAAAAATATATTAATAAAGAGAAACAAAATATAGAACAACAGTAAAATAAAAGGCAATAAAAGAAGAATACTTAACAGTCCTGGGTTTAGGAGTTCTGACAGAGTCCAAAGTTCAGTGAGCAAAATGAAGAGTCTGAGTGGATCTTTTTCAAGCAAGGATTGCACAGAGGATGTCCAAATATTAAAGGGGAACTCTTTGTGGGATGTTACAATTTCTTGATGTTGCATGAGTTCCTTTCCTTGATGTTACAACAAGAGCCTCCCTAGATGCCTGTGCAGCATCTTTCTGTAACCCTCTAGGGGGTGTCACAAAGCCCGCCCCTAGGGCAGGGCTGGAAGGGAGAGCAGGAGGGACGAGCCTCTACGATGTCTTCCTCTGCTTCTCCCAAAAGATTACATTTATAACTAAGAGCATAATGGAGTATGCATATTCAATATGGTCCAACAGCCTTAAATGTTGATGCTTCATGACATGAGCTTTAAATCAAAACCAAATTTGGCATGAATAAAAAAAAATGGTTAGGCAAGGAGGCCAAATGTCATCTGTTCATCCGTGGCTGATCATAAACTATTTAGTCTTGGTATCTATGTTCTCATTTTGAAGAGACACAGCTATTTGGGCACTTAATTTTGCAACATCACTGTCCAATTCCAAGTTATGAAACTGAGTTGATATTGGAACTCAGGTTTATGACTGGAGTGTGACCATTATCCTCACCAGGCCCTCCGATGTTTATCTAAAGCTGTCAGTTGCTAATTTATTAGGGGATTAGCTGAGCTAGGCAAAAGCATTACCATGTATAAGCAGTTTATGACACCGCTCATAAAGAAGTCATTCAAGCTGATCAATGCCAAGTCCAGAAGAACTCTAGATAACAATCAGTTTTAATGCTTAATTTTAAAACTATACAGATTACAGGCGCAGATTAGCAGATCTCCGTTTTTGGAATGTGGATAGGCCTGGCAAATGAACTAAATGAAGGTCTGCATTTGCTTTGAACTGGGGAACAAGAGACTGCTATATTTAATGTCAATAGACTCAAACCTCATTATCTCCACTGGTAGGACAGAGGAGGAGCTGACTGGTTGAAACTTGACTCTCCTCAGCATGTCCATCAATAGGCTTACAGGTGGATGGGATGAACAGAGGGGGAATGGGCGGGAGTGAGTTTTATCAATTCAATTGAATGCTAGATAATACAGGAGAGTGTTTTCTGTGCACCCTTTCCTTCACCAGAGCATTTTGGTAAAAGCAGTATTATATAAGACAGGGTTTTTTTTTACCACACTTGTAGAAGACTAAATAAAAGACAGCTTTATATACTGTATATACAATTTTGGCTATGAGTAATTGTCAATGGGTTAGTTAGGCCTCATTCACACTGGGTGATTTGGAATTCTGGCAGCAGGAACCTATGTATTTCCACAGCAGAAATCCCAGCTGTCTCATTTAGATGCGGTCGTTGTCCCTGCGGCTTCTATCCTGCATCCAGGGACTGTGATCTATTCCAAACCACATATAATCTTGCCACATATGATTATGTAGCGCATCCCTTACAGAGCAGCACGCAATAATAAAGCAATGGGTCTCCCTGTGTTTCCTCTGTGATGAACCTCAATAGTAAATACACAGCACACCTTGAGATTGGAATACCTTGATCCTAGGCTCATTTGCTATGGGTTACCGCAACTCAGTAATCTTCTTGTCTAGGGATATTTTCATTCACTTTGCCCATTAGCATTTAGCGCCCTCTATGGTGATCGATTAAAGTGCTGTCCACAATGTAGATATGATGCTGAAAACTTTTATTAATGAACTTCAGGGAAAGAGGTTGACGGTTAGGATCACCCAGGCTGATGTAGACTCCTTTTAGTGGCAGAGTGGCACAGTACCTGGCACAGCAGCACATGAGGTAGAAGTCACCAGTCATATTCATCTTTGTCATCAGTAGTAACCACTGGGACTCCATACTCCAACCCCAGTGTAAGCACACGGCTAGTCCCCAGGCTTCAGGCCTAGCAATCTTAGACAGTCCATAGCAGCCTCCCAGGGCAGAAAGAGAGAGATCACATGACCCACCCCAAGTATTTATATCCTCCCCCAGCATGCACCACTGGCCATTAACCTCACAGTGATTGGCTGGAAAGATATAACTACTCATAACAATCTCTCATTGGTTGCTCTGCTCTGCTTTGTGACCAGGTACACCCAGCAGCAGGCAGATGCAAACGATGACAGATTGATTAGGGGAAACCAAATGAACATAGACTACATATCAGCATCAGACTGATTACAATCTGACAATAACTACATTTAATAGCATTCCTGCCTACAGGGTGCTACAATTACATGCGGATTGCCACTTACAGATGCGGCCAATGTCACCCAGTCATGCACTTGAACATGTACAGAAGTCTCATCTAAACAGGACAGATGCTGCAATGCCATTCAAAGAAAATGCATTAGCAGTAGCTCTGCTGACAGGATCACCAGGTATTATTAAAATATTAAAGGGGCATAGTGACCAAGAGACTGGACAATGTTATTTCTATAGGTAGCCAAGATAAAATATTTCATTTTGTATGCATAATTCTGCATTAAATAGATAGAATAGAGCCAAGCAGGTGATTTACTATCGATCACTACACTGAGGTTGCAGCAATAAAGAAATAAAAACATTTTTTATATTGCCCTGTAACTGCTTCACACAAGACATTTGCTCAATGGAGAGCTATTGGGAGAGTAAAATTTTCCCTTCTCAATAGTTTGAGCCGGCATGTAACAATGCAGCTGTCACATGCCAGCTCTATAGTTTGAGAACTGAGCAAGCACAAACCGCTGATCAGTCAGCTCATGGCTACTTCCTACCGGGAGACTGTCATTCACTGCTCCTCACATGGATTCTCCCCTCTCTCTCTGTTCCTCTAGAGCTTATTGTAGGGACAGACAGGGGTGGGGGCGGGCACAGCTGGCTCTTGCTCTAGAGAGGCAGAGCCAGCTGTCATTCAGGCAGCGGGGTGGATTCTGACAATATTGTCGGGATCTTTCCCAGCTGCAGCGCGGCTCTGCTCTGTCAGTATATAGCGGGCAGTAGCCCACTATATGCTGACTTTGGGTCACAGGAGTACATTTAGATTGTAAGCTCTCAAGGGCAGGGCCCTCCTTACCATCTTGTATTGAGTTGTATTGTAACTGTGAAGTCTTCCTTATATTGTAAAGCGTTGCACAAATTGTTGGCGCTATATAAATCCTGTATTATAATGATGCACAGTACTTTAGCAAACCAAATGTCATTCAGTAAGGGTTTACATGTACTATAAGAGTTTGTGAAAGGCCAAATATAGAATTTTAACTGGTTACTTTATCTGACAGTGAGTTTCATAATGATGCCAGGAGGGAATAGGACATATATAACAGACCTGGCAGAAATGGAAAATTGTATTTGTAACTGCTTTTTCCTCACACCATTTTCTGCCCAGGTTCCTGAACTGAACTGGAAAAAAAAGCTGAATTCACAACCAATAGGCTTATTCAATCTGATCCTACAGCTGCTCACTGACTAACTTTTCTCCACAGATTTTGGTGACCTTTTCAGGCTTCCCTTTTCCCTCCTATGATTGTGTTACATTGCATCAATGCCATCGGTCAGGCTAGGGAATGTGAACAAAGTAATTGACAGTCTTGGAGTCACGGCGTAACAATGTATGAAAAGGCCCAGGGCAAAACCATCAGGAGCTTTCCCTGTCTTTCTAATTTCCATATTGAAGGCATTTTCTTTAGGGTTCCTTCACACCTATATGTTGCTGTAAAGCCCAATACCACAACACAAGGTAAAGCACAACACTTTGTGTGGTTTGTAGAGGTGCCATTCGAAGCCACGTGTATAGTAAATGCCAATGGACGCACACTCCACATGACATATCTTTGCAAATGATGAAGGCAGCTTAAGCAACACATTTTGAGGGTCAAAGCTGTGTGACGGATCCCAAAGCGGTGAGAATTCCTCCAAAAGGAGCTCTTGTTATTGAGTAAAGATTTTGCAATATATTGTCACATCTCTGTGCGGGCAGATGCCAATCATGGAGAAACTGGAGACTACACTGCGGCCAAAAAGTACTTTGGCATGTCCCAGGTCCACAGAGATCGAAGATAGGCAAAGGGTAACACATCTGTCTGTCTATGTCTAGCCAATGGTTATATTTTTTAGTTGCATTTCCACTTTAAGACTAGCAGATCTTATCTTTTATTGTTTTTTAATCCACAGTGAGCACGTATGAACATTTCAGTGCGGGTTATTGATTCCTAGCTTAGAAATATCTGTGCTCCATTCCTTTCTTAGGAATTCCCAGAGAGGTGGAAAAACCTGAAGAAGATTGCTTTCATAGTAAAGCATGAAGTGTCTCCTCTGCAGGCAAATGAAGTCTCCGTTATCAGGAGGAAATGTGTCCTCTTTGAGGTGAGATCGCTTCTGTGCTCTGAAGCAAATGATTTTTTCTCTTTTTGTTCCAATAACAAGCTGGAGCCAAGCTTCACTGAACTGAGAAATTGTAAACTCTTGGAAAAAAGGTTGTCTAAAGATAACAATTCAATGTTTCTTGGTAATGCACTCTGGATGAATCTGATAATTTAAAGCCCCACTTCAGTAAAACGCTGGTGAAGCCCGCATGTCTTTTATCTTCAATTATGTCTAATCTCTTTCCAATTCAAACACTGCATAACTCACATCAGATCAAAATATAGATTTTAAATGTTTTCGTTCTTCCCGTGTGCATTAGCTGTGAGATAGGCGCAATTTAAATATACTTAGCTTCTTTCTTTTTTTTTTGTATCAAGGTAAAACACAGTTATGCAATTCATAAAAGGGGTGCATAAAAAAATGTATGCTTTAATGATATGGATCCTGACGGTGAACCTGTGTTCATTTTATTTCACAGGTTAAACAGCATGAGTATAGAAATCGATTTAAAAATGAGATTATCTTTAAATTTGATGCAGAAGATCCATACAAACATTTGGATAAGGTATAACACAATTTTGTACTTTTTTATTTATTTTATGATGGCAGAGTTATGCAAGTATTTTAGTATGTGGGCTTAAACTTAAACTTTCAAAGGAATACACCTGAATTGAGAATAATTTGGGAAGAAGGCCTATGTGGGGGTTCCCAACAGAGTAATAACAAATGATTCTAAGCATCAGAAGCTACTGTTTTTTCAGTGAGTGTGAGCAAACTCTCATCGTTCAATTTTCAATGGAGACAAGGAAACAACACTATCATTGCTCATAAAGCTTATTTACCCTTAAAATGGAACTCTATCTCAATTAAATGCATATGTTCATCTAAAACTTTCTTTGGATAGAATGAGAAAGGTTTAGGACTCCTTTGGGGATTTCTTTTGCTATCCGGGGCCCTGTTAGAGAGATTTCCCATTATTTACTGCCCCAATCACAATGATTTAATCAGACAAGAAATCAGGGAAAATCTCCAAGAACAACATTAACAATTCCAAGACACAATTAAACATCCTTCATTTTAGTAGTGTAGGGGAAAGCTAGAACTCCTGTCTGCATTGATTTGCTGACCATGTACAACTGAGGTACTGGATTCAACTAGATAATGTTTGAAGGAAGTCAATCAGATTCATACAGGGTGGAGTGGCTCTGGTGGGGTTGCTCTCAACAAAAATTGGGTACCCCTTAACTAGGGGATCCAATTCTTCGGCTCCATGTGTTAAAATGCTAATGAAAGCACCAAAAAAACCCACCAAACCCCCCCAAAAAACCCGATGCCTGCCGACCCGACCGCACATGACAAACTCCCGCCGCTCAATGAAGAATCTGACAAATGCCGGCCAAATATAAACAATTGGGCGGAACTAGCTCCGCCCAACTGTTTACATTTGGCCGGCACCTCCCAGAGTCTTCTTGCAGGCCCCGGACAAATGTAAACAACTGGGCAGAGCCAGCTGTGATGCCACTGCCAGCTCCGCCCAGTTGTTGTCATTTAATGATAGCCCAGTGTCCTCAAATAACCTGAGGACACTGGTCTATCATTGAAGGACAAGTGGGCGGAGCCGACCGTGATATCACAGCCGGCCCCGCCCAGTTGTTATGTAATGACTGTAATGACAGCCCAGTGTCCTCGAGGATGCTGAGCTGTCAGTCCCCGCTCCGGCTGTCACTATGGCTCAGCCGAGCCGAAGTATATGCGTTCGGGTCTGTTGAGCCGATCGGCTGCCTTCGGCTGTTGCTTGGGCTATTGGGAGTAACTCGTACAGCAGTCGAACCGAAGGGCCCAGGCGGCCGAAGTGAGCTGAAGGATCGGCCGAAACTACGGCTGGATCCTTCGGCTCTTTAGTGAATAACTCTTTTAATATTGGTGCTAGTTAATAACAAGAAAACATCCAACGCATGTCGAGGGCTCACAAATCTGCCCTTTCTTTAGTTAGTATACTTACTTTTCCTCTGGCTTCTAACCATGAAGTCATCCTCTTTCCAGCGAGAACCCAGGGGATGTTGTTGCCCAAAATCTCGCAAGAAGACTATCCTGCATTGGGCTACAGCATCTTCTCCAGAGATCTGGGGTAAGCAGGATTCCCCCCGGGTTCTTTTGGCAGGATGATGACATCACCCCGTAAATTACAGAACCTGGGGGAAAGAGCAGTATATAATCTAACTTTTTTTTCCCATACAGTTGTTTCTTTTCAGTTTTATTTAGGATTTCAGCAAGGGGAAGGGGGCCACATTTAGAAAGCAGACCATACATAGCATGCAAATTCTCCTTTAAAGACAACCAATTAAAAAACATTGAAAACACAAATTTTCTCAACTTACATACCCTTCACTTACCTATATTTCCACCAGGAAATCAAAAGGAACAAATACAAATGCAACAGAATTTGTCTGCATGTAGAACAGCCCTGCTTTGAAGAATGCTACCAATAAAACTGCGAATGAACAGAGCTCAATGCAGTGGAGCTTTTTTTTTTACACATTTCTGAGTGAGTGACAGAAAAGAAAAGCGTGTTGTGTGCAGTACTGGTAAAGTGAGATATGATTTACTTCTGTTTGCCTTGAAGCTGTCCATAAAATTCCCAGTTATTGTTCGGCAGTGTTGAAACTGTTAATGTTAGGAAGGACTTCAACTACCCAAGGTGTGATTCATCCCCTGAAAACACACTACATCCACTTTCCAGAACTTAGTCAAGTGTAACAGCAGATAATTCACACTCCTTGGAAATGTCACAACTAAGATGCAGCCAAATGACTGTATTCCTCTCTTTAGACCCATAGAAATATCTCCAGACTAGAGGATGAGATGAGAAAACTGCAGGAAACAACAGAACTGTTTGAAGTCAGCGTGCCAGAGTATAAACAGCTACACCAATGTCGCACAGCCATCGTCTTACTGAAGTCAGTGTGGGATATGGTGGTATTTGTACGGGTAAGACAAGTTTAATGTTCTTCTCTGTACTTCAAGCAAAGTGCCAATGTTAAAAATTTAAATCTTAAACTATGTTTGTTTTTGTGGTTGCTTTAATACATGTGTATAAGGGTAGAAGTAGACAGCACATGTTTAATTTAATATGTATGCCTAGGCAAAATAAACAAAATAAATATATTCTGTACATCTCTGCAATACATGCACTTTTACCTATTTTTGGGGTTCAGGCTGTCAAAACAGTGCCTTTGCCACACTGTAATCCCAAACAGCATTGCCAGCTCTACGTGCTGAACTACAGAATCCCCCCTTACCCAGTAAAACAATGCTTTCTCTTTGAACTACCAAGAGCCTGCCCATACACTTTGTGTAAGAAAAAGGCTATTGCGAAATGTAGTTCTGGAGGCCTGCTTATGTCAATAGGACCTCAGCTTCCAGCAGCTGTCACTGCAAGAATTTTTGCAAGCCTGTGGACAATGTTACAGAGTAATAAAAGCTATTATTTTATTCTAGAACAATAGAAAATAAAAAGATCATGTAGGCACATACTCTAGAGGGCGAGAGGTTTGGAGTTACATTTTTATAATGCCTGGACAAACACTGAAAGGTGTTTCTGCAGTGGACATGAAAGCTGCTGCAATGTCCAGCCTTAATCATCTTTTTTAACAGCTGGACTCTGACATGTATGTTAGCCTATTGGACCTATGGCCTGGTGCCAACCCGCAGTCACTAAATTCTCTTCTGACATCTTTTTCTGTCTTATTTGTCCACTATATTTGTAATTTACATTATGTAGTACTTTAAACTAGCAATCCCATTTGTCTTTCGCAAACATGTATCATTTAGTGTATGTATAAAATGTAGATTTACTGTAACTTGGCGCTTCAGTTTTAGGCCCCAGATTCCTCCATGAGACTAAAGCAAACTGCTGTGCGCAGAACGCAGTAGTTTGCATTAGCCTAAAAACTCTCGTACCTACAGTATCAGATGTACCACCACTATAAGTACCACTAGAATCTCATATAGCACCTTGGCATATCACTTATAACTGCAATGCATGTACTTTGCAAAAAACTTCAATCAAATGATTCCGGTGAATTATCCTTTCAGTATGGTGAGGATGCCATTTTGAAGTGAATATATTTTCTCTGTGCTGTCACCAACTCTGGTTGTATTGTCCATGACCTACAAGCAGGCCACTGCATTAGCTCATATTTGAACCGCTCCAATTAATAAGCTACATGGAGGAGACTCTGCTAAATTAGTTGGCATCAACATATTCTGGCCAATTAAACACTGACGTTGATAAGTTTAGCTATTTGCTTTTCATCATTACTATAATTGCAAAGTCATTATGATTGTGTGAAATTGCTCTGCCAGCGAGAATGTTCTTTTTTTTATGGAGAATAGAGGTCCAAACAGACATAGCCATACATAGCCATAAAATCAATCGGTGCAGCACAAACAACCCTTTACCTAGCAGCGGAAGAAAGACACGGTAGATGTGTTTTTCTATTAGTGACCTTTTACATTCCAGCTGTCATTTTCAGTGCCGATTTAAGGCTGAACTCCAGGCAAGCAGCTGATTACACAGGTGAAATACAAGTATAAAAGCTGTTTTACCTGCTAAAGGATTTGTACTTCTGTCAGTTCAGTTCTGCGATTTACACAGCTCTGCCCTCACAGCACAGACCTGTCTAGCAGGGGATAAAAAAATTATTTTTGTCTGCTGCACTTTCACTTACTGGTCTCCTCTTCACTCCCACCCCGTCAGTGAACAGTGAAAGAAGAAAAAACACACTGACACACCACACTTTCCTCCTATCAGCATGCCCCTTACATTGCAGCACACCTAATTGGCTCCTTGTGCTGCTTCTGCCTTCCCCATTCTAAGCTCTGCTGTTCAGGCTACTAAAAGAAGGCTTATATATGCCTGGAGGAAAGCAAGAATTTGATTGGTGTGGTATGTGGAACACCCACACTTCCCCTAACTTTTTATGAAATAACTTGTGATAAAGCATTCGATGGTAATGTTGGCACTGCAAAATGTCTGAAAATATTCAAGATAAATATACATCATTATTTACATTAATACAGAAGAGCTATGCTTATTTTGCTTCTAACTGTGATCTCTGTTGCAGAGAATCTATACTAGATATAGTATGAGTTAGCCATGATACCTCATGCTGACTTTCTTCAAAGCCAGCTATCAAGGTCTGCTAAAATTATCGGTGAACACGTTTCCTCTGTAGACACATACACTTAGGATACTAGAGATTTTCTAAAGACAAAGCACATCAGAGGCTGTTTCCTTTTAGACGGTATCTCTCTGACTGAAACTTCATACAGGAATCCTGTGAGAGGCAGTGAGGGTTAATGTTTCTCTTCCCTAACTCAACGAGATTGAGGACACAGAGTCCTCAATCTCTTTTTCTGCAGTCCCTGTTATCAATGAACAGGGATCCTCTATGAGTAACATGAGGACTTAGTGTATTTACTATAACCACAATCATGCATGAACAGGAGGTGATACAGATCACTTCCCATTCATTCTTGAGTATATAGTAACCATACTATGTCCTCAATTATATACAAAACACTCACTGATGACTGATCACTGAGTGTTTGCACTCGTCTCTTTCCTGACATGCTGTCACAGCAGGCTGAGCGAGAGGAGCTCAGCCTCCTGTGACAGCGCTGGCTGTCTCCGCCCACACATCGCTCTGCCGATCTGTGATAGGAGGCTGAGCGGTGTGGGAGGAGAGAAGCCGGCCGCTCACATCGCTCTCCTCCCGCAGCGCTCGGCCGGCTGTCACAGTTTCTCTCCTCCCTGCGGGGAGGAGAGAATACACGGATGCACCACTGTATCGTTCAGAAAATGGCACTTTCGGCATTACGCCAAAAGTGCAATTTTCGTCCGATAAGTTTCGGCGGCCGATATATTGGTGCATCCTTACTTATAACCTCTAAATGAATAATCTCTAAACAAAACCATGATACCATGATTCAGAGTGCTGTCCTTTGGATGTGAGACTGTGGCTTGGACAGCGAGTGGTTGGGTAAAGTAGTATTAAACTGCCAATTTTTTTTTCAACAATGAATCCAGATCAAACAAATATACGTTGTACATCAAAGTATTTCTTTATTTTTGGACAATGCCCTGCTCACTGCATTTGATAAGTAATGTGTGTAAGTGCAGGTGCTGTGTGTAGTATTTCCAGTGATGTCTAGCTGCATCATTGGTACCAAGCAGTAACATGCATGTATAAGACCCTGTAGAAGGGGTTTAAAGAGTATTTTCACTTCTACAGCCAAATTGGAATAACACCTACTTTTTATCTGTTACATGTTCCCATTCACAAGCATAAACTATTTTTAAATTGCTGCTTGCCTTTTACATGATCTTTTTTGAAAACTCAGAATCTGAATGTTTTACTCTGCTATGCAAGTGGGCTGGGGAGTCAATGTTTACCATAATTAACACTATCTGTACTGTGCTGGCAGATCTCATTATCAGCTGTAAGCTAGATTTGTCCTAACTAAGGCTTGGCTTATGCAGGAAACGCAATGGGTCCCCAGTCTTTGTATGACAGACTCATTTTGAAATTGTTTAGAGCAGCTTGCAGTTTGTACAAATGCCTGATCCAAAGAAACATCTAAAAGGTAAGACATTTTTTTGTTCTTATTTTTAGTTATGCTGTGTGAATGAGAAAACATGACAAACATGTAGTGGGGTTTTCTCAATTTTAACTGCGAAAATGGAACTACACTTTACCATAAAGTTCTCCCTTCTCTGTAGGCACAAAAAAATAAATGTTTGCCCTTGCACGCATCACCAGCCTGCATCTAGGCAACTCAAAACTGGAAAAGCTAAAAGGAAAGAAATGCAGGGAGAAAAACAGGCTTTACAAACATATACCGCAAAGCAGGAAAAAAAGTAATTGACCAAATTAAGGACAAAAAAAAGTCATAATCACAGGAAAGTGCAAAGAGTAAAACAGAAAGACCTATGAAAACTTCTGATTGATTTAGGAACTGAAAAAGGAATATAAATGTGTCAATAAGTCTAAATAATATTCATTTGTGATACTTTTAATGCATTAACACAGCATGATTTTATGTAACTAGTAAGTGCGACATATCACATGGCACCTTTGTGCTTTTTCGTCAGGCAAGCATTAAAGACTGGATGAAAACACCATGGAAACAGATAAATGTTGAGCAAATGGATATGGAACTAAGAAGATTTGCAAAGGTAAAGAAATGTTTGTGATTGGAGGCTGTAGTATATAAGTAAGGTGATTTGGGCTTTTTCTGTCTGTGAGGTTGATTTACATGAAGTCGATTTACATTATAGCCAACAAAGTTATTGAGAAATAGAAATGAATAAAATTTCCTTTAAAAGGCATGCCCACTCAAAACTTATATGTGCTTCATAGGTATATTATAAATGATCTGCTGGATCCTTGTATCTTTTCCAAATAGAGATTTCTAACACTGTCCCTCTCGATCAGTCTTAAAGATGATCCATCCTCTACCAATGTCAAGAAATGGCACCACTCTCCTTTCTTTCTCCCAAAGATTAAAATGTAATTCTAAGCAAAACATTTGGCTATTTTTGGGCAAAGCAGGGAAGGTGTTCACTGCTATCTGTGTTTCTGTTTAGAAGATTGAATTAGAGACACAACAGGATTTGAGAGTGAACTTCACAAAAATGAGGAGAAATCCTCATTTCTCCTCATTTTTGACAGCCATCTGTTTCAGTGACAGATGGCTCTCACTGAAACAGGTGCCCCATTGGTAGATTTTCCCTCAAGTTCAAGTGACAATCATCAAACTTTAGATTTCCTCTAATTTTTATCACAGTGGTCACCAACGAAGAAAAGTGAGAATTTATCTGTCCTGCACAGTAACAAACAGAAATGCAAATGTAGCTTTTAACCCTTCCCTACTCTATGCAAAACTAAAGAAAAATTTTGTGGCTAGGGTTCTATTTTACAAAGAAAACGATAAGAAGCTGTTAGGGGATGCAGCCCTTTAAGATTTAACCAAAGCCAGTATATAAACTCCAGCGTGTGTGTGTGTGTGAGAGAGAGAGAGAGAGAGAGAGAGAGAGAGAGATTGTTTGTCTTTTTGTTTATTTTGCTGTTGTACTTCTTTTTCTTTATGTTTTATTATTTACAATATGTTATTCTTCATAATTCAGTCTAGTATTATTAAGCCTGTTAATAGTATAAAACGTCTATCCTCTAGTTTTATCAATGGAGCAGTAATGCAGCTTTCATTCAGATATGTATTGAGCATTAGGGATGAGCTCGGGCTTTGGACCGCTTCCTAGTAAACATCTGCCAAAAAGCTACAGCAAGCAATGTGAAAGGCTTCCCCAAATAATATATGCACAAGTATAATCAGCTAAACGAATTTCAATAGTAACCCAGATGTAAATGTGAATAATTAATATCACATTAATACATAGAGAACTCAATCAACTGATATTTATTTTTTCCCTCCCCAAATGTAATCTTTGAGCATTCAGCTCTTTTACCCGAGTAGGAAGAAAAACAATTTTTTGCAGATAAAAAAAAAAGCACAAAATAATGAAAAGCACAGTATTCTCCCTTTAAAGGTAAACTCTTCCTTTCGCCATAAGGACACTTGAATGATTCAAAGAAGTGCCACTTAACAATTATGTGAAAGGATCCACTTATATAATCCTTCTGCTAATTACTTGGTAATTATTTGCAGCTTAAGTTCAGGTGACAAAATGGAAAGTATACGCTATCAATGTTAATAGGGTGTAACCTTGAGATGACTGATTCGTGTAAATATTCTTGGAGATTTTGAAATGTATATTTTATTAAACTATACAATAAGGATATCTTGTTTGACGATTGTTTTAAACATTTGCATTTGACCGAAAACATGTCTATTTTAGAATAAACCTGCAAGTGCTCTGTAAATGCATAGTCATTAGAAAGTTTGCGGGTCTATTCACTAAGCTGCCGAGGGCAGCCGAGTGAACAACCGACCCCAAGTGAAGTGAGCCGAACACTGTTCGGCTATTCACTTCAGGCTGGTACGGCTAATTTCAGCCGTACATCGGCTGAAATCAGCCGTACATCGGCTGAAATCAGCTGTACATCGGCTTGCTTCGAATGGCTTTGAAGTGCAGAAGGTGTTCGACTCAGTAGATCACTGCTGTTAGGCCTATTCTTATAGATGCCGAACAGCAGTGAGTGAATAGCCGAATGCCGCCGAGCGAGGGACTGAGCAGAACAGAAAAATAGTAAAAAAAAGTTTAAAAAAAGTAAATAGAAAACGATTGTGCGGAGCTAGCAATGACAGCTAGCTCCGCCCAACAGTTTCAACAGTTTTCTAATGTCCGGCGGTTCTGTTGCCGTAAAAAAATGAAAGAAAAAAAAATTCTCCCGGGCGCTCTGGGAGCGTTCCGCTCCCGGCCGCCCAGGAGAGAAACACTGATTTATCTTTACCTGCAGCAGGGGGCGGGTACAATGCTAGTTTGCTATTGGCTATTGCAAATTGAAATAGCCAATAGGAATCTAGCAATGCATTCCAATGGGCAAAAAGTTTTTTTTTTTAATTCTGACATGGCTCCGTGTCAGAATAAAGAAAGAACTGAAACAGCAGTGTTTCTCTCCTTGGCGGCCGGGAGCAGGAGACTCCAGGAGTGCCAATTTACATGAATCCTCTCTAAAGTCTGTTGGCCTCAAAATATTTATTGCCTGACTCAGCATTATCTCGTATTGTGTGTTTTTTCCTCAGTGTTATCAATGGATTTATTTTCACTTTACAGTGCTAAGCATACATTCTGCCTATCGCTGCATTAGTGTTTAATCAGTCCTGCATATCACTGCATTAACCCTACCACTGAGTCCTCATTATCTCTGCATTAATCCTTCCTCAATCCTGCTTATCATTGCATCAATACTCCCTCAGACTTGCCTATCATTGCATCAATCCTACCTTAGTCTTGCTTGTCATTGCATTAGTTCTAACTTAATCCTGGCTTTCACAATGATGCCTATCATTGCATTAATCCTTCCTCAAACATCCCTATCATTGCATCTTTCCTACCCAAAGCCGGTGCTTGACTATTTTGTGCCCTAGACAAGACCAGCTACTTGCAACCCCCCCTGCCGCGGCCCCATTCTCCTGCCGGCTGGCTTCCACAGGCAACAGGTGGATGTAAGCAGCCGGGAGCAATTGCCAGGCTGCTATTGGCTATTTTAATTTGAAATAGTCCATAGCAGACTGGCTATTGAAACCCCTCACACTGAGCAGAGTTCCGCTCTTCTGCTTAGTGGGAGGGTGCAACAGCCAGCCTGCTATTGGCTTTTGTAATTTGAAAGACGGGGGGTCACCGTGAGGGGGGTGAGTGGTCAAGGCTGTGCCTTAGGCAGCAGTGCGCCCTAGGTAGCACCAGCCCTGTTCCTACCTCAATCCTGCTTTTCATATCAATCTTTCATCAGTCCCCCTACATCTGCACTAATCTACCCCGAGTCCTGCTGTTATTGCATCTGCCCCCCACCTACAGTCTTGCCTATCATTTAATCAACTTTCACTTTATCAATGCTTCATCTCTCCTGCCTATCTCTGCATGGAACCTTCATCAGTCATGCCTATTGTTGCATTATTCCCTCTCAATCCTACCTATCGTTACAGCTAATCTCTCTCAATCCTGCCTACAAATGCATCATTGTTCTCTCCTTCCTGCCTGTCACTACCTTCCTGCTCATTGCTCTCTATCAGTGCATAATTACCACCTCTACACAGTACTCGCTTTTAATGTATGTTTCCTCCCTAGTAGTGCCTTCCACTGGAGTGCTAAAAGTATTGCTCATATGTTGTGATGTGTTCTTGTATAAGATTGCTCCCTATATATGATGCTACCATACATTTGTTTCTATGAACATTTTTTTGTGCATGGTCAGGAAATGAAGACACTAGACAAAGAGATACGAACATGGGATGTCTACTTGGGCTTGGAATCCACTGTTAAAAACCTTATTACATCACTAAGAGCTGTAAATGAGTTGCAGAATCCCGCCGTCCGAATGAGACATTGGTTACAACTGATGAGCAAAACTGGGGTACATTCACTGCACTATGTTTTCACTATTCACCAGTTCTTTTTACCTGTATACCGAGACTGACACTGCATCGTGTTTTCTAGGTGAGATTTGTGATGAATGAAGAGACTGTACTTGGGGATCTACTGGTCTTACAACTTCACAGAGTAGAAGATGAAGTAAAAAATATTGTAGACAAAGCTGTGAAGGAAATGGCAATAGAAAAGGTAAGTCTTCCCAGATACTGTTTTGATGACACATATTTCAAACATGCATTCACTGGATTGATTCAGGTAATTAAATGTGTACTCACCTTTTTATGTTTGGACCCATATCATTACTCTGACACTTGTCTGGTGTGTAAAATAATTTGGTTCTCATTGAAACCCTACATTATGAATAGTTATAGCCATGGGATCCCAAACACCAAGTAACTGCAACCCAGAGTTTGTACACTTATAGTCAATTATTATTTTGATGTACATTTTTTTGTCCAGATTTGTTATAGGTGGCAATTAGGAATAAGTGGGTTTTGTTGATAAATAAAACCATGTGATCATTATTCTAATTAATTACTTTATTTAGCAGTAATGCCATGTGATCAACATGACAGCAGTGACATGGTGATCACATAGATGTAAAAACTTAGTGTTATCATTAGTGTAAAGGTTAGTATTATGGTTAAGGTTAGTGCTTTTTTGGATCAAGAACAGGTCCGAGATAGATTACAGGAGCTTTCCTAACTTTTAGGAACTCGTTGAACCTGTAACCAAAAATCATGAATTCCCCCTTGTTCATTGACTCCAATGTTTTATGCTCAAATGGCAAAACCTTGGTGATGTGAAATCTCCCAGTTTTTCCCAGGTTCGCTCATCTGTAGAATGACAATGCATGCTGCACATTTAAATTGGCTGCCCATGATATTCCCCAACTGCAGCAGATAATGAAGTATTTTTTAGAATTATGGGTTTATTTAATGACAGTGGAAAGTACATCACAACAACCAGTTACATTTTATCAGCTTAGCAGTGTGGCACCAAAAAAGATAATATATGGTTGAAGGTTATTAAAGAAAATCAATATGATTTTAAAATTAGTGGTAAAACAAAGTTGAATATGTACATTATCCAAAACCAATCAAAGTCTAATACAGATTTACAAAATCAATGACTCAGGTCCTTGTGGAGATGAACCATACATGGAGCACCATGCAATTCTCATATGAGAAGCATCCAGCCACTGGAACTCCATTGCTAAAATCGGATGAAAATTTAATAGAGACACTTGAAGACAATCAGGTAACTGTTTTATCCTGATGAATAGATATGATCTGCTTTCTCAATCTGTTAATACAGAGCAAAAATAAAATATGTGTATTAAAATACAAATAATAAATATATTTAAACCTAGAAAAAGGACAGCAGCAGGCACAGTCTGTAAGGCATAACGAGTGTTTATATTCAGGCAATAAAATATACAGTGCACAAAGTGAACTACATATATATAATTGATCCTTTTCGCTTCATAATAAAGGTTGTATACACTTGCATAATGTTTACTTGTAAGGAAAAGTTGACTTAAATCATATGATTCACTATAGGAGAAATCCAGTTATTGGTATAAAAGTCCTGTCTACTGTTAGAATTTTCAGCCAAAAAGCTTCTTCTTTGCCACTCCCTGATTTAGCTTCACTTTGTTACTAAGGCATGGACAAATTTAAGCCTAGCTATGCCTAAAACTAGGGATGCACAGATACTTTTTGAGTACCAGTGCAGATACTTGGAATTTTCATGAGAACTACCAGGGCTGCAGAGGTTGCAGCTGGGACCTGGCTCTGGGGCTCCACCACGGTCCTGAAATCATTAGTCTGTATTGTTTTAGAAAAACGTTCACATGACAATAAACAAAATGTATCAGTACTAGTACTTGTAAGTACTCTGCAAGTACCAGTACTCGTACTCGCAAAACTGGTATCTGTGCATTCCTTCATTTATATTTATAAAAACAAAATCGTACATTAAAACAGAGATGTACAAATCCCAGGAGCTCCGTGTGCTCCTTACAAATGACAGCTGCCTCCTAATTTTTTAATTTTTCTCTAGTGTTGTCTTGGAGCTCAAAAGTATCGGTACATGTACTCGTACTCGTACCGAGTACTGTACTTGGTATCTGTGCAACCCTACCTAAAACCTTTTTTTGGATAGAGTAGGGAAGATTTATACCCCCTATTAGGCTTTTATTGCTGTCTGTGTCCCCTGCTGGGGAGATTCACTTCTTTATTTATCCTGGTGACCACAGTTGTCACCAGAACAGAAATTGTGGGCAATCTTCAAGTGAAGACACTTGTTCTGGTGACAACTGTCTAAGAGGAGGTCTCCCCTTGGCAAAGATTTTCACTCTTTGAAACATATTACATAAGATAAAGAGTGTCAACAGCAAACAATAATGTAGAATACAAGGTATCACCATTGTCTACAGCAGGGCTCAAAATTTCAAGTCCTAAGCTACTAGCCAGGCCTGAAAAGTTACTCGCCACCAGTTGCCCCACCTAACCCCTACCCTGCCCCGGCCTTAACTCCGCCAGGTCAGCGGTGTGACGCAGAGTATAAAGATCAGTAACAATGCACAGTACAGAAGTCAGCAATGTTATATAATAGGAAACCAGCCTTACCGGAAAAGTAGTAAACCTGCAAAGCAGGTGGGTGCTTGTAGCGACCACGGATGGCACCATGAGCAATACAGAAGTAGTAAAAATGGTCACAAGCACACCACAATATTTACAGCAAAAAGTCCTTTAATGACAAATTGCCATTCAGTACAAGCACTTTCGGGGTCTATGAAGTACCCCTTCATCAGGCTCATTCTGAGCCTGATGAAGGGGTACTTCTGAGACCCGAAAGCTCTTGTACTGAATGGCAATTTGTCATTAGAGGTCAGCAATGTGACGTGCAGTGCAGTGGTCAGCAATGTGACGTGCAATGCAGTGGTCAGCAATGTGATGCGCAGTGCAGAGGTCAGCCATGTGACGCACAGTGCAGAGGTCAGCAATGTGACGCGCTTTGCAGAGGTGAGGATGAGACACACAGTACAGAGATCAGGGTGTAATGCACAGTACAGAGGTCAGTACACAGTACAGAGGTCAGCGGTCAGTATGTAACGCAGTGCATAGGTCACATAGAAAGTACAGGGACTTACAGTTGCTTTGACCTCTTCTTCTCCTGGTGATGGTGGGGGAGCAGCGAGGTTGCCTGCACGTCCAGCCGGCTCCAGGTGCTCTCTCTCTCGCGCAGCAGAAGCCGGCAGTCTTCCTCTCCCACCAATGGCAGCTGAGGTGGGCGGAGGAAACTGCTGTGGCCACCGAGGAGCCCAATCGAATAGGGCACAGACGATGGCAGTGGAGCTTCTTGTTCTCTTCTCCCCGCCACCGCAGTCTTAAAGAGGCCCCCCTCCCAGTCCACATCTTTCGGACGTTATTAATCTGAGTTGCCCCACTCAGTATGCCCCTCTCTTGCGGTCATATTGAGTGGGGCACTAAGATTAATAATGTGCTGGATTAGTCTGACCCAAGGGCGGACTGGGGGCAGGGTGGCAATTGCCCCCCAAGCCTCTCTGATACCTTTGCAAACGCCCCCCACCGCCCCCATAAGCATTTAATCTCTCCCCTCTCAGTTTCTCTGCTGCTGTAGCGGCCAAGAGGGGAGAGATGAAGTCCTTGCCATGGCGGGGGGACCTTTGCAAAGGTATCAGAGAGGCCTGGGGGGCAATTGCCACCCTGCCCCCGGGCCTAGTCCGCCCCTGGGTCAGACTAATCCAGCACGTTATTAATACGAGTGCCCCACTCAATATGGCCGCTAGCAAGGGGCATACTGAGTGGGGCAACTCAGATTAATAACGTCCAAAAGATGTGGACTGGGAGGGGGGGCTCTTTGTCAATGTCAGTATCAGTGTTAGTGTGTATTAGGTAGTAGACATGTGTGATTTGTTTCATTCCAAATTGAAATTCGGACAAATTTCTGCATATTCGGACATTCGGATGCATCCAATCCCATGTTGGGATTGGACAAGGGCCTATTTTCCTCAACCCTGGCCCAGCAGTTGCGGGGGTGTGCAGGCAGGGATGCTTATGTGATTCTGAGTCTCTGGCACAGTAATATTGTAAATAAACACACACATTCCTATTAGGCCTGGTATGAATTGGGGGGGGGGCGGACTTTTTTTTAATTGTTTCTGTAGACTGTTAAAAGTTGAAAAGAAAAAAGTAAACATGTCACTTTTGTATGTCACTTTTCTGCAACAAGTTTTGGTTTGTAAATATTTTTAAACTCGTTAATTTGTGAAAACTTCAGATTTAGACAATTCTGAATACCAAAACGAATTGACTTTCTGACTTTCTGATCCTGAAAAACGAAATAACAAAAAAATCCTACACTAAACGAACCAAAACAATTTTTTTGCCAGCTTACATGTCTATTAGGTAGCATAAAAAAAACAAAATGTGCACTATTGTTTCTGGGCCCTACTATGCACACATATTTGGTGTCTCTGTACATGCCAAGAGTAAGATAATTTATTTTGGGATTTTTTTTCTGGAGATGGATTATGGTAATGGCAAAAAATATACAACTAACGTTTAAACACTGATTTTTTTTTGTACTGTTTTGGGCCAGATTTTCTTTGATAAAAACCCTTGACAATTAAAAAAGTTCTGCCGATAGCCAATAACATTTACCACAAAATTAAGGTCCAGTTTGTCCTGGGGAAAAAAACAGGTATATTTCATCTGGACACACAAGTAGCTACAAATATATCTATATATATATATATATATACAATTTTACTGACACATGCCAATGTGCAAAACTGGGGTATGACTTTAAGGTTTGTTTCCCTGATGGCACATTGGGCATATTCTTAGATGACAATGCCAGAATTCATCAGGCTCAAATTGTGAAAGAGTGGTTCAGGGAGCATGAGACGTCATTTTCACACCTGGATTGGCCACCTCAAAGTCCAGACCTCAACCCCATTGAGAATTTTTGGGATGTACTGGAGAAGACTTTAACGCAGTGATCCAACTCTACCATCATCATGGTAAAAAAATGAATGCAACTCTGGAAGGAAATAAATATTGTGACATTGCGTAAGCTTATTGCAAATGTGTGCCATAATCAAAGCTAAAGACAATCAAATGAAATATTAGAGTGTATAGCTTTTTTTGGCCAGGCAATGATGTGTCCTGAAGTGCTAGGCCTACCAGGTGTTTTTGTATGTCTTTATGGATTTACGGCAGTACATAAATACTGGGATCCAGGGGAATTATACTTTTTTTAAAATCATCTGTATCATCAATATTTTTATTCACAGAACCCTATCTAATAATTTAAAAATAAAATTTTTTTTGTTCATTGGGCCAATTCTGTGGTATGGGTTCATACCATGATTGTTCAAAATATGATACACCGTTGCCTCATATCCCACCCTTATCAGAAGGTTTAATTGCTACATCTGTATTGCATTGACGTTTATTTCATGCAATTCTTTGTTCAGTTGTTCAATAGTTTACAATCTTCTTAGTTATCTAAAGATGTTTACATCTTGTGTAATCCTCTTAACAAAAAGAGTCCCAACATTATTACTTGTTAATGCCACCCCAAACGTAGCAGGCAAAATGCACTTCTTTGCCCGTGTGTTGACACGTGACAAACGTACAGAAATTCTCAGTCACAAAAACGTGTTAAGCTTAAAGCGGAAACTGCTGTATGAGCTTTTTTGCCACGTTTGTTGCTTCAGGTCATTGAAATAAATACGCTGCCCTGTGCTGACACACGGCAAATGTGACACAAGAAGCGTAAACCCAAGGTGCGTTTACACATGCCGTAAGTGTAAACAGGACCTGGATCACAAGTGGATCTGTTAAACAGGAATGTGACTTATGAATGGATCCATATCCTGTTTGCATACCTTTACCAATACTATACCAATACTTTACCAATACTCAAGTGCCTGGATTGGGATAAAATCTTATTGTAAATATCAAGTGGATTAACATCGTATTTATGTGCTTATATTAATATTCCATTACAACCCTGGAAGAGAGAAACCTTCGTATAGCCTACATTTGTTCTCAGATTCTTTAGAATTTTGAATACTGAACACAATACTATGGTTACTATATATTGGATGCAGGCCCCTGTAAAAGTTTTTAATTGTTTTTAATAATTGCACTTAATGTAACTACTATTGTTGAGAAAAAAATAGCAATCCCCTCTGGGTTTTCAATGTAGTCTGCAAGGATTTTAACATACTTAGTTGCAGATTTCTACCTTTTTCTGCTCTGAAGAAGAAAAAGCATTTTTTTTTACCATGTCCATTCAAGACTAAGGGCCTGTTCACACGACGTCCGTTTTCTGTGCTGACCTGATCCGTACGCTCCTGCACTAAAAATGCATCCCAATGTATCCCTATGTGTTTTATGGGCTACAGTTCTCACATGCGCAGTCCGTTCAGGTTTCGGCAGAAAAATACTGCATGTCACATTTTGTACGGTCAGGAAACGGTACGCAAAACGTGTCAAAACGCACTGCACTGCAGCTAACATACTGACAGCCCCACTCCAGCAAAAAAAAAAACTTTTTTTTTGTTTTTACTGGAACGCATCAAAAACACGGCTAAAGCGCGGCAAAACACATAGCACCGCGTCTGCTGATCCGCACCTGATCCGGACCTGATCAGGACCTGAAATTCATGTGAACAGGCCCTCAATCCTAAATAAGAGCATCTGGGTTCATTATAAGTACCTGATACAGTGTACTAATGAAGATAGCTGCAGTGTTGGTATCCCTTTAGATGTAGATAACCCTTAGGCTCCATCTCGCAAGAATTACATTTCTATTGCCGGGGATGCCTTAAATTGTATTTGTATCCTAGTATAGACATCTGAGAAAATCAGATGTGAGCTACTCACAAAAGCATGAAATGACATTTATGGGGGGCGCTTTGTACACCAAAGATGTACAGAACACCTCCAGGTTGCCATTTTTGCATTGAAATGTTTGAATAGTTTTGGAAAATTACAGCGGCTTTAGATTGTAATGGAAAGGTAATTTTGATTAACATGAAATAACAAAATGGCTTGTGTAGTAATTTATATACCATATTCATTTTTAAGGAAAGTGGAGTGTTCTTTTTAGGGAAATAAAGTGTATTTGCTTATGTATATATTTAATTTGTTATAGTAATTGTATTGATTGAAGTCTTTTGTGAACAGTTTGGTCAGAAAGAAAAAAGTTTGCTTCCTTTCAAAAAAAGAAAAAAGTGACTAAGTCTTGAACGCACTTAAAAATATTGTAATTTTTTTTTAGAGGTGCTCACCCCCAGCTGCGTCGCTTGACAACATGCACAAAGTGCAGGACACTTATGGGAAAGTGCTTGCCTGTGGTGCCTTATTGCTTAAGTATGTCCAACTGCTTCTGCTCCTGTTTGGTATGAATAAAGAATCAGGAATCAGAGCAAAGTTGCTTTGGCTGATGGCTTGGAGCTGAATACAACCATCAATCCCATTGTGAAAAGCTGCTTTGAACAAACGAGTGTGGTTTTTAAGCATTTAGCATTTTTTCACTTGTTTTGCAGTTTTCTTTTTTTAGCGTGCAATTTCTCTCTCGAGCGTCGCGCTATTCATGGGGCCCAGGACACAGTAAATGGACCTCTGTGATCAGCAATTCAATACAAGTCTAATTTCAGTTTCGTTTACATCAGTAGGGGAGCTTCTTGTTGATTTTGATAAAGTCCAAACTTTGCTGGTTTTAAAAAGAAGTTCAGTAGTTTTTGTGCCGGAATGAGCTGCCTCAATTTATTTTACTTCACATGGCATGTGGCTCACGGGTCCCCTTGCATAAAAAATTGCAAATCAGCACAGTTATAAGAATTGTGTTTAGGAGATATTCTAGGCATTAAAGAGCCTGATATTTCAGTGTTAGGTGGGACATATGTTTTGGTGACTGCAGTGACACAATCTCACTATTCACCTGGCCAATGCTTAGTGGAGCCTGGCAGGTACAAGTAAGTCTTTGATGGAGAACATTGTTTTGGGACCCCCTCTTGAAGCACCTGCTTTATGCTGAACCTTTTACGGGGTGATATTAACATGGCAGGGACCTGCATGCTAACAGCCCTGTACAACAGAATTGAAGCCCACATGCCTGGTGGACAACAATGTTACAGTGGGGTGGTATGCGTTTCATTAAACATAAATAAAAAAAAAAGAGTAGATCAGGACAGAATTTTCATCTGTTAATTAGCCCAATCTGTTTTTGACTTCTAATTGGTAGAACTGTTTAATTATCCCCAGTTACAAGAATCCAAGGGCTAATAAGGCTTATGAGGTAATTACAGCAGGCCACAGTAACACTAAGGGCTTCATTTCTAAAACAACAGCATAACATAAATGCTGCCATACCACGGTTAATAAAAAACGATGTTGTGCTTTACAGTTGTGCCTTCCTCCTCACTTGCTTCAGGACTATAAACCAAGAGAAGCCCAAATCATTCTAATGAATTGGAAGACTAAGTCCCAGAAGGCGGAGACCTGTGACATTATTTTCACAGATCATGTGACAGAGCTATTCTCCTATCCTGGAGTGTTTCTGCCATACACCAGAGGCTCTGCATTTTATTTATTTAATTTTTTTAAATCAGATTTTATTTATACTTTTCAAGAGATTGTAAATACGAAGAGCACCTGAACCAACAGCAAGGCAATAAGAAAAACAGGGAAAATACAAAAACCCAAAGGACAAGCTGTCACACAGAACAAAGCTACATGTTACATCACAATTGAGTTCAACATAGTACCTAAAGGCAAAGTGATGCATACTTTCAAACAGCATTCACTGGGGAGAAAGCGTCTACCCATCTGGGCCAGATAACATCAAATTTACCAATGGCATTACACATATCTTTTTCAAAAGAAGTAAATTTAGACAATTCAATAAACCATTTCTGTGTGTGTGTGTGTGTGTGTTTTAAAACCCACTTACCACTATCATCCCACGAGCAAGAAACAAGGCCTGAGTTAAATGAGTGTCCATAGTGGAGAATCAATATATCCGAAAGTGCAGGCTAACTGCTCAGCAGTTAAAGCGGACCATTACACTCAAAATTCAAATTCTACCAATGCATTCCTCTATGTATGATGATTAATAATAACAGACTTGTCAGGTGTAAAATGCTGTGATTTTGAAATACTTACACTTGCAGAGCATTCACTTCCTGCTTTGAAAGGGCAAAATGACTTCGGGTTGCCAAAGCAATGCACACTGGAATTGCCTTGTCAATGGCAGAGCATTGCTGGGAAATCTCATCTGTAATCTCACGAGATCTCAGGGAAAGGCATTTTCCTCCCCTGAGATGATGTGCATGATCACATGTCCTGGTCACATGTGCCAGATTTTCAGGAAGTAAAAGAAGAGCTAGTAATCTGCCCTTAGTAAACAAGGCCACTGCCAGAAGACTGGGGAAAAAAAGAGAAATAAGATATGCAAAGAATACAAAGCCTGCAATTATCTAGAATTATGTGTTTGTAGATTGTCATTACTAAACATTTCTAATGTTGTGTTTGTTGTTATGGGTAAAGGTCCGCTTTAACCAGAGAGGCTCTGTACAGGCCCGGATTCCCCGCAAGGCCCAGCCTTGGGGCGGCAGCGGTGTCCTTGTGGAGAAGTTGCACTCTCTACATTTAGTCCTGCGATGTTGCCGAGATCACATGTAAACAGCGTGCAGCCTCCTCCCCTGCACTTACCTCTCTCCTCTGGTTCCGGGCTCCACCGCCGAGTCTCTCACTGCAGTGAGCAGAGCGGCAGGGTTATAAATCACAGAACCTGGCCTTGGGGCGGCAGGGAGAGTAAATCCAGCCCTGGCTCCATATATTATAAATGAACTGTAAAATGTAGGCACAGTGTGAAGTATTTACTACAATGTCCTGCAGACAGTTACATCTGCCCTTTGCTATGAATAGGGCTTTAGACTAGATCTGTCACTCACCTGACTACAGTAATCTTAAATGTGATTGAATTATTTCTGTAGTCAGGGAGACCAGCTACAACATACATACTGCTCACCAGGACAGTTCAGTCTTGTCTGAATGGACTCAACTAACTGCAAACAAATTAAACAAGTCAATGTATTGCATGCAGAAGAATGGAAGGTTTAATAAAAGAGCAAAACCAACTTCACAAATGTGCATCAAGAACAGCCCTCATTTGCTGAAATGTGTTTGTTGGTTGTTGTGGGTTACTACATATTACCTGTTATCAATGTTCTTTGTACTTCACTGTGTAAGCACAAGTGTATGAAACAATATGATGAAAAGCATGTTGGGAATAGTGTCAAATATGTAATTGAAATGATGTAAATTGGGAAATCATTAACAGGCTTCATATTTATGTAAAATGTATAATGCAGCAGGTTTAGAAAGGCACACCTACCAAAGAGCCATATCCAGTTTGGCTTTTGAGTTCTATATTTAAGTAGCTCATTCAATTATTATATCTATTCAGCAAAGTATATACATATCACATGCTATATTTCTACTTCAGCCAGTGGCAGATAATCATTACTGTGGCTCAAGTGCTCGCCCCTGGGTTGAAGACCCATGCATAATAACATAATAATATTAAATATTAAAATAATATGCATAAATTAAAGGACTGAATTGCATTGAAAAACCAAAGGTACTAGTTTGCAAACCAAAATGATGCAAGTTCAAGGTGGCTGGCTCCTCTCCATTCTCCAGCTGAATGGCAAAGTTCTACCCTTTTATAGCTGTTGATGAGCATAACTAAAGTGAAGACTAGCCCAGAGCTCAGTGACATGAAATAGTGTCCAAGACCCAGCAGACCTCAGATCAGGACCCCACTCTATTCATTTGCCACTGACACGTATTGTGGCTCCTGAAATCAGCCAGAGGCAGCAGAATTAAGTGGGCTCTTGGTATGAGAAAACCTCATTTTGATATGGACAATTGAGGAACAGATGCTCCTAAGAATTATTTTTTTTATCTCCACAGGTGCAACTGCAGAACATTTTAATGAGCAAATATGTGGAATTTTTCTCAGTGGAGGTAAGCAGGTGGCAGAAGAAACTAATGGTGGCTGATATGGTTATTTCTGTCTGGTTGGAAGTTCAGCAAACCTGGGCACACTTGCAAAGCATATTTGCAAACTCAGAAGACATCCGGAACCAACTTCCTGAGGATGCCAAGAGATTTGATGGAATTGATTTAGACTTTAAGGTATAGTAATTGTGTGTGACAGTATTTTTTGCGTGTGTATTTATTGTACCATATATATGTGATTTATGTATTTTTCTTTGTCTTAGGCTCTGATGGAGAATATCATCAAAACAAACATAGTAACTGAAGTTACAAATGAAACAGGATTGCAAGAAAAGCTGGAGACTCTTCAGCAGAGGTTTGCACTTTTTTCCTTAGCTCATAGACAAAAATAAATATTGCAGTATGGATGAACCATATGCTGATATTTGTTGGTTTGCTGATCTTGTTATGATGTGTTTGTTAAACAGGAAATTCGTTACATTAGAACTGGAAAAATAGTCTGTAATGTGTAGCATGTGTATGTTTGTACTGTATGCACACCAAGGTTTTGCTGAACAGGAGCAATGACACAGATTATGAGTAGGGATGAGCTTGCATACCCAATCAACTCAGCTGGCAAGTTTATTTTTAAGTGTTTTTCCCTTTTTGTCTTTTTTCCCTTTTTGTGTATTTGATTGCTATTTGTGAGCTGTCACTTTGAATTTTTTTACATTTTTCCGCTGTCTGTGTTTTCTTTAGGTGGAAGAGAAAAAGCTTAACAATGAGGCTAATGAGGGGCTGTTTTTTGGCACACAAACAGGTCTAAGATAGTTGAAAATAACTTTTTGTAACCCTGCGGAGTCATTCAGGGTCCATTGCATCCTTAACCAATTCAGGACTATATGACATACATGTATGCCCTGGTCTTAAAGTGGTTGTACTATGATCATGGCTGCAGCCATGATCTTGGTATCATCTTTTCAACAGGCGATGCTTTGTAATTGTACATCTAGATCACTTGTAGCATCCTGTTAATGTGCTACCCCACGCTGTGGTTTTTCGAGGTCCTCCACTCCTCTGGGGGGTTCAGGACCATTGCAAACACTGTCAGGATGGAGAGCGGGAGCAGACTAAGGAATGTCCATTCCCCGATCTGCTGTGATGAATGAACCAGGGAGCTCTTGCTCACAGCGCATCCTGCATCAGAACTGTCTGAAACCAGGTTCAGACATTTGGTGTATGTGCTTGACTGAGGAGCCAATGGGGCGAAGCTACCATCTGTGGGATTATGACTGAACGCCTCTAACTCAGAATCTCCCCTAAAGGCGACGATGCCGCAGTGCTGCGGAGACCAGGTCGGCCTGGCATAGCCAGCCCCCTCACCCCCACCCCGGAGCGCCACTCACCTCGGGACCGGAGCGGGGACGGAAGCGGGCCACCTCTCTCCCGAAACACATCGCATGTTCGTTGTGAACCCGGTGCTAAATCATTCGTAAACTACCTTATTCTGGGTCAGGGTTTCGTACGTAGCAGAGCAGCTACCTCACCGCGATCTATTGAAACTCATCTCTTGAGCCAAGCTTTTAAAAAAAAGAACTGTCTGAAACCATCTTAGGTGCTGGTTACACAGACAATCAAGCACATTCCTGTGCATTACCATTTGTATTGGAGGGTAGGGGAGACATCAGGAGTCTAATAGACCCCAGATGTCTCCATAAAGAGAACCTGTCACCTCCAAATGCTATCACATAGGGGCTTTTTAGTCCCACGTGATAGCAATAAAGTTAACTGAAAAAGCATTGTTTATGGACAATTTTGAGTACAAACATTTTTTACCATTGCACAGGCCCACACAATTTTAATGCATGACATGTTTGGTATCTATATACTTATTCACAGGACTGTATCTTTTTTTTAACCAAAATTGGGTATTATATTGTGTTTGTGTATGCTAAAAATATTGACTTGAAAAACATTTGTGCAAATATTGTGTGACATAAAGAAATGCAGCTATAACTTTTTTTTTACTCTGCAGGGCCTCTTATATGTTTGTTTGGGGGTTGAAAGACATTTACAAAAATTCAGATTTCAGTATGTGTGTGCAAAAATAAAAAAAATTGCTCCAGTTCTAAGGTGTTTAAAAAACACCTTATTTCATCGTCCCCATGACTTCAATGCATTTCACTTAAAGTTCAGCAAAATAAAAACTGTCAGTTTTCACGCCTCCCTGGCCAACAATAGCTGAAGGCCTTATTCACTAAAGGATGAGAGTCTATTCAGTTCACTGAGCTTAGTAAATAAGGTGAAGCTGGTTTCACTTCAACCAGTCAGTCAAGTAGTATCAAAAATCCTGTTTTTCATAATTTCTCATGCACATTGTTGGGTATTCAAAGGATACACAGGTTGATTTATTCACTAACATTCAGTTTGCTTAGTGAACAAACTCTACTCTTTAGTAAATGAACACCCATAACACATTATTCCTGAAAAGCACACATAAAAGCCATACAGCTACTCCTTACTTAATGACCTACCTGTTAAATGGCTGCTCGAACTTAAAACCAGCTCCCCAACTGGTCGGTATTGTAAACTGTACAAGAACTTTGGTCAAGCTCATCTCGCATCACCCTTTCCCAGTCATTCCCGTAGTTGGTCAGTATTCACTACTGTACTGTACATGAGTATTTACAGTATGCAAACTTAGGTAATGTTCTGTATATTAGAGCTGATTTCCTCTATTCCTCACTTAGCGACCATTGCACTAAACAACCTAGTTGTAGGAATGGAACTTGGTCCTGGGAGGTGCTGGGAGGAGTGTCTGTATGTCAAGAGACATTTGTTTCTTGATTTCCATATCATTCAACAGAAAAAAAGCAGCAATACACAAAAAACAATCCTTGTCATATACAATACTAAGGGGGTTATTCACAAAGCTAGCCGAAGGATCAGCCGTAGCTCCAGCTGATCCCTGGGCTAGCTTCAGCCGCCGGAGCCCTTCGGTTCTGTCGAAATGAAGGGCTGCTGTACAGGCTATTTACTATAGCCATACAGCTCCAGAAGGCAGCCGAGCGGCTCAGCCGAGCTGAAGGCATATGCTTCGGCTTGACAGAGCCGAAGTGACGCCCGAAGCGGAGCGCACGGCCGGCCAAACACCTCGCAAATGACAGCAATGCCGGAGCCAGCCGTATTCTCATGGCTGTCTCCGCCTAGTTGTAATGACAGATCAGCGTCCCCAAATGACCTGGGAAAGCTGAACTGTCATTAAACAATGACAACTGGGCTGAGCCGACTGTGATGTCATGACCGGCTCCGCCCAGTTGTTATTCATTGGTGGGGACCTGCTAGAAGACTCTAGCACAGTGATGGCGAACCTTTTTGAGCCGGAGTGCCCAAACTGGATCACTAAACCAACTTATGTATCTCAAAGTGCCAACCCTTCAATTAGACCACATTAATACAAAGCCTGCCGTGATTGACTCAGCACCAAGCCAATCACGGCAGGCTTTGTATTTAATGAATACAGGCTTTGAATACTTAATTGTCGGCTGCCGCAGCTCATCTGCCGCGTGTTCATCCGCGGCAGCCGAAAATTGGAAAATAGTCCCCTTTCTTCTTGGACTGGGACCAATATCGCTGCGTCCCTTTGATAATGCGGACCTGGGCTCGCGTGCCAGCAGAGGGGGCCCCACGTGCCCACTCTGGCACGCGTGCCATAGGTTCCCCAACGGTGCTCTAGCAGGTCCCGGCCAATAGGAAACAGTTGGGTGGAGCTAGCTGTCACTGCAAGCTCTGCTCAATTGGCTTATTTATTTATTTTTTTAAATCTTTATTTTTCAAAATGTATTATTTATTTACATTAAAAAAATTCTACTTTTTTACTTGATTTACTATCCTGCTCGGTACCACGGAGGTACCAAGCAGAATAGCGGAGCCGAATGCCGCTCGGCGGCATTCAGCTATTCACTCACTGCCATTCGGCCTCTATGTGAATAGGGGCGAACGGTAGCGAGTGAGCTGCCGGAGCTTCGGCTCAGCTGATCCAGATGTTGGGTCGGCTGAGTTGAAGTTCTTCTGCACTTCGGCTCAGCCGCACATGCAGAGCATACTCGGGTGACTGAAGTGCAGCCGAAGCCAGCCGTACAAACCTGAAGTGAATAGCTGAACAGCGTTCGGCTCACTTCACTTCTGGTGGGTTATTCACTCGGCTGCCTTCACCAGCTTTGTGAATAACCCTGTAAATGTATCTTTAGGCTGTACTGTAGTTTGAAGCTCTAATATTTCCATTCACTCCTCTATTTTTATCTATGAATTGCTTTCATAGATCAGATCAGAATAGGATTAATATAACGACTTGTAAAACACATATCGCATTTAAATGCCCTCTTAAAGCTTAAAATAGTGTTGGAATTATATTTTTCTTAATTTTCATTCTGTTCATTTTGTTTATTTATATTTCTGCAATTATTTTCTGCTTTTCAAATTAGTAATTGTGTTGTAAAATTTTTTTTATAACAATTAGTGTCAATGCGCCACTACTGAAGAACCATCGGCTGTATTCCTCTTTAATATATTTTATTGAAAGTACACATTAGAGCTGTTTGAGTTAAGCTAAAAACCCAGCACAATCATGAATAATACCCTCATTTTAAGTGCATATGAGGATGAATATATGTATAAATAAGTAACTGTTTAATTAAATGACAACAAATGATTGCAATTTATCTTGCAACAAATAAGACTTGTGTAACCAATTTTCACAGAGTGCTGAGATTTATGGGTCATTACCTGTATGGCCTGATATTAAAGGCAAATTAGTTAAGGTTTTCATGTGCTCTGAAGATGCAAATTAGTAGCCACCGAAATACAGGTCACTTTCTGCAATACAGAAGATATTCCGTGTATATTTAAAGGCCTTCCACAGACTTCATGTGTTTTAAATAAATACATAATTTTGTTTAGCTTTATGTGAAAAATCTTACTAGTGTGTTAAGATATTTAAAACTAGACATGTGCATGGCAAAAAAAATTGTTTTGGGCGAACTAAAAACATTTTCATTTCTTTCGTCAAAGGAAACAAATTTTAATGCTCGGAAGCAACGAGCCTCTGAATCCGAAACCGTACAATAAACTGCAGTACGAGTGGCAACCATATTGACCACCGGCGCGTTCTGTGCCATTTTGAAGTGTATCTTGGTATACACCAAGATGGTGGCACCTGTATGTGCGGGTGCAGCGATCTTGGTGTATACCAAAATCTACTCCGAAAGCAACCAATGTGGCCTCCACTTTTTCAGCATATGACGTCACCGTCATCTGACATCATATGCTCCGTCTCCAAGATGGCGGCGCATTCTGTAAATTTATGTATGCCCGAATATAGTTTTTAGCAGATAATAAATTTGTTATTTTGGATTCAGACGAACCGCCGAACCAACTGAATTTCGTTGATTTACAGGTTCGTCCGAAACTGAATGTCTATTTAAAACCCTTTATTATAATAATGTGTGCACATTGAGTTGCAGTATTCGTTTATTGTGCAGTCTTGCGGTGCTTTCTGACTAAAGCTTTTAGTCGACATCCCTCGATTAGCTGATCAAAGGAGCCAGTCGGAAAATCTTTGAACAAACAGAGCTGGCAGCCAATGAGCAAGAGAAGCAGCTGGGTTTGCCCGATCAATGCTCCTGTAACGTTCATGGAGGAATCTGTTCAGCCTGATTGAAAAAATAGAACAGTGTATGGCCAGCTTAACAGTTCAGTACGGTAACTATGCTTGCTGCTTTTCTCATCTCAGCGCACTTCTATACATGCTGATCTGACAATATAAATGACTAACTTGGCTAATACAGTCATTTTGTTGTTGTTCAGCAAGGAGGCTGACTGCACTGTTTAATATACAGCTGGACACTAGAGGGAGACCCTGCAGAGCAGTATGTGAATATGGTCATTAAAAACATGGTACATCAAGCCAGTAAAAAAACAAAGGACATGATTATTAAGTTTAAATAAATGTCACAGAAGTAAATGAAAATAAGTACTTATGAATACATAATAATACAGAAATACATAATACTTTTCATTTAAGATGAGCTTTTCTGACATTTGACTACAATTCCAAGCAACATTGATCCGTTTTGACCAGATGAACCAAGGTCCACCTAATATATCTGTACGTGGACATTGATTTATCTGCTCAAACACGAGGATTGTCACTATTTACTATGAGTGTGACCATATGAACATGCAATGATGTGCAATTTCATTGTATCATGGAATGCTGAATGCACGCACTGCAGATTTGATACAAGTATCTTCTACTTCTAAGTTATTATCTATGCCTCCATTTCATGTCAACAGCATATGTTTTAACTTTTTGCCAAGATGATATGCAATGTAAAGCTAACCTGATGGAGCTTAAGGCTCCTTATCATCCTTATGTGGACATGGATATTTGAGCTTCTAACAATATCATATTTTGATACATCAGTTGTTTGCTTCCTGGATGGTGTTGGTTTTTAATTTAATTTCATATAATTGAGTAATAAAGAGAATTAGTTTAGATTTTGGACACAGGTTGTGGGAGCTCCACATAGTTTCTTTTGTTTCCATATAGTCCTCTTTAATAGTTTTATTTTATTTTGTTACAGGCTCACACTATGTGAAAAGTCATTGGCAGACTACTTGGAATCAAAACGTTTGAGATTCCCCAGATTTTATTTTGTTTCTTCAACTGATTTATTGGAAATAATTTCCAAAGGAACTCAGCCTAAGCAGGTATGTGGGCAGCATGTGATGGGATACATCTGGTGGTAATGGTAAGATCATACATAGGAAAACTTATGTTATCATTTATCTTTTTGTGTATGTGTATTTGAGGCATGTGGCAAGTATCTATTTTGCATTTGTTTTGGTTTTCCTGATAAATCCTGTGGACATCGTCGGATTACCACACACAGGAAATATCTCACATAGAACAATGCTTGTCAAGGTGCCTGCCTACACTCAAACCCACTGGGACCTTCTGTGATATAAAAAAAATGTACAGTGGTTTTGTGCCTATTTTCTTTCTTTTGTTATTTTTAGTGATGAGCGGAGTGATTTTGGCAACATTTCAATGAAACTGAAAGTCTCAATTTTGCTCACTGTGGGTCACTTAGAGGGGGTTGGGAGCATTCATTTACAGTAGTTTAGTTTGTTTCATTTAGTGTTCTTTTTATTTGTGATTTGTGTATTTGATGGTTATCTGTGTACCATTGCTTTAAATGTTGTTGTTTTTTTTAATTGTATGTTTTTTTTCTATGAAAAAAAGTTTAAAATAATATAGTTAATGAGGGGCCATTTAGTTTTTCACAAGAATAGGTTTAGAACAGTTGATAGGAACTTTTGTAACCATAAGGAGCCATTTAAAGGCCATTGCATGCTAAAACACCCCAAAAACACATGACTTTTACCTTCCCTATTGACTCCAAGAGTTCAGGAAATTCTCAAACTCTCACTCTGCGCTATATCACTAGTCATTATGGACAGGACTAAAAATAGATAGTTGTAAAGTATATATAGCATATACAAAAACAGACAAAATAACAATCTGAAAATGTATAAACTTAAAACAAAACTATATTAAAATTGAGCCAAAACCATTACTGATTCTCTTCTGTTGGCTAGAAGTGTTGCATGATGGTTAACATTTCCGTTCCTTTTTTATTGAGGAAAGAGAGCACTTGGGTTCATTGCACAGAGATTTTTGCATTGAGTTGGTAATCTTTCAGCACAATAATGAGGGTTTGTCCTGTGGACAAGTCCTAAATGGTCCAATCTTTTTTTGATCATCTTAATGGCCCAAACAACTCACAAATGGGTTGGTATTATCGCCCCTTAATCTTATTAATTTGTGTTAATATTGTTTATCTGTTTAGCTTCTCATTACATATGTCAGTAAGGGCATCCATATTTGTTCATTACATATTCAGACTTTTGGCTTTGCAGTGCTATACAGTGGTTGAAGTACTGCTTCTCACAATATAAATGCTTAAATTGGCCAACCTCTTGTAAATGACACACTCCCTGTTTTGCTAGTATATTATCTCAATATTTTTAAAAGCTGAACCCTGACCACAAAACATAATTAATTCATTAATTAATAACATATTAAAAAATAACTAACTTTAACTTTTATAATGCATCCACTGCGCCCCAGGGTCCCTAGGTCCACATTATATAAACACAAACGAGAAGGGGGCATTGGTCTACCAAATATGCTTCTTTACTATCAAGCATCTCAATTGTTGCCCCTAATTTCACTCCACCAAGTGACTAATATCCCTCTGTGGACCCTGTTGGAAATATCCAACTGCTCCCCAATCCCTTTACAAGCACTCCCCTGGTTGCCGCCCGTGGATAGACCCCACTCCCTCAGCCCTCTGTTGAAACATGCCTTGAAAGTGTGGTACTCATTGAAATACTCATCACACCTTCTATCGTCTTCATTACCCCTTCTCCCCATACTTTCACAGCCACTATTTATCCCAGCATATACTAACCCCAAAATATTTCAGCGGTGGACTGATAATGGTTTCACTAGATTGTATGATTTTTACCGCTCCTCTAACACCCCCCCGGTCTTACCTTAAAGCACACAAAAAGATTCCTGACGCAGAAATGTTCAGATTTATTCAATTACAACACTGGGTATCCTCCCTACATGCACGAAGACACTTACATGCCCCACTTACCGGTTTCGAGCATGTCTGCCTTTATTCGCCAGGAGGGCCCAAACTGGTGTCAATCCTGTATTCTAAACTGAATTCCTTGACTCGTACCAGTCTCCATTCCTATCCTACCAAATGGTCCGCAGATCTTGGTCTGAACTGGACTGAGAAAGACTGGAAGGGGGTGTGGAGAAATATTTCTAAATGCTCCAGTAATGTGACAAACTCTGAGGTTGCCTATAAAGTAATGTTTCGATGGTACCTGGTCCCCACTCGATTAGCCAAAATGTTCCCGTCATCGTCTACTAAATGCTTCCGCGGATGTTTGACCCCAGGGGACATGTTACATACCTGGTGGTCCTGTCCGTTTGCCGTCCGTTTTTGTACAAGAATCTTTCGCTTAATCTCAACTTTGTTTGCTAAAAAAATCTCTAGAGACCCAACACAGGCTTTATTACATACTTCAGTGCCCGGACTGAATAAATCACAGGGTGCCCTGGCACACCACATATTCCTTGCTGCCAAATTAACCCTAGCGGGAAATTGGAAAAAACTATTTATCGCGTACCAGGAATTTACGCAAAGTCTAGATAATATATTGTTGAATGAGCGGTTATCGAGTATTCTAACTGATACCCATACCAGATTTCTACAAATCTTGGAACCTTGGCTCCTACTTAACCACCCTGATCTGGATGTTTACACCTTTAGATGCCTGTGATGTGGTCAACAGAGTGAAGGGAATTTAGTTGGTAATCCCTAGTTGAGACCCGAGGACCTGCGGAATAGATCCGAACAAAAATCAAAGCTGACCGACCGATGGACAACCTACCTGACCTTCTTTCTTTACTTTTCTTTTCCTTTTACCTCATCATAAACGAAAGTTAATGCATTGTGTTTGCATAGGCATGCCATCGAACCTATCGAGTTACTTATGTGGCCAACTGCGGCCGGCAAATACCATGTAAAATGTCTAATTACTTCTACCTTGAAAATCCAATAAATATTTTGAAACAAAAAAATAACTAACAACTATATTACTCAACAACCAAAAAAAAAATGCATCCACTTTGTGTTCACCAAATGCTTATGCAAACCCAGATATTCACTTGTGAATGTAGCAGTGACATAATTGCTGTGCGGTATATAGCCAGTGCAGAGAACCACATTGGGATATAAGACCAATTGTTACAGGAAGCTCCAGAACAGCAACAAAGTGCAAGAATTGTTTCATACCGGCTTACTGCTCAGATCTGGAAGTAAAAACTGGTCACCAAAATTCAAGTAAGAATGCACATGCCGCTTGCATTTATACAATATTTGTTTAGCAATGTGCAGGTGTGAACGGGGACTTAACTGGTAAAAAAGAGTAAGTGTAGTATAATCTAATCTACCTTTAGTGGGTAATCTACAAATTTCTATATCTAATTAAAAAAAAACAAGAAAAAGGAATCTTCTAAAAACATGAAATTCATATAAAATTTACCTTAAGGTAAAGACTTCAACAACTTACATTTATGCTCATTGAAAGTACACTATACTTTTTCCTTTCTTTATAATGTTCATTAGTGCATATTCTTTCTTTATGACTATGATTAAAAGTCCTTGGAAATAGGGATCATCGGTTCATATTTTTACTCATGTTATAACAGGTGATTCGACACTTTCTGAAGCTGTTTGACAACATTGCTGATCTGAGATTCGATGATGAAGATAGAGAGTGTAAGACTGCTATAGGGATGTACAGCAAAGAGCAAGAGTTTGTTTACTTCACCAAACTCTGTGCATGCGAAGGCCAGGTAAGACTTATACAATAAGCAATGTGTAAATACTTATGCTATCCATACACACTACAATCATTTCATCATAATCTGATTTTTTAAAAATAATTTATTTATTCAGTATTACTTTAAAATACAAACCGAATGAAAACTATCTACATATGTTGTAATTAAAAAGGATTGCATCTAAAAAACGATCAGACTATAACCCCAGCACACAAAGATTCTGTTCACAGAAAAAAACTGAATATCATTGTTAAAATAACAAATAATTGTACAACAACAACACACATATTAGAGTGCTTTTGATGTTTATATTTCTGGTATTTATTCACATTTTTGTATATTTTGTGCTTGTATTTGGTTGAACTGAAATATTAAGACTACCATCAAATAGTTGTCTATGAATAATATTTATTAAGTGACGTGAGAATTTCCTGCTTTGTGGTAGGCGGAGACTTGGTTGGGACTTTTGGAGAAAGCTATGAAATCAACAGTACGTCAGGAAATCATGGATGCTGTAGCTGGGTATGAGGATAAACTGAGGGACCAATGGCTGTTTGATTACTCTGCCCAAGTCGTCCTAACTGCTAGTCAGATCTGGTGGGCAACCGATGTGGAAATTGCCTTTGAGAGATTTGAAGAAGGCTTTGAGAATGCTTTAAAGGATTATAACCGCAAACAGGTAAATATTATGTATAATACCAAAAACATTTTCTACATAACATTCCTTATTTTCTTATATGCATTATATTTATTAGGCTATACATTGTGACAAAGCTAAATAAGTTAGAATTGACCTTTATCCCTGATGTGCTCTCCTTTCCCAGACATATGCTTGTACTAGCCATATAGTGTGAATGAACAGGCCCAGGTTCAGTTCGCGGCAGGATCTGCAAACACAGAACTTAGCACCATAGGTCACTGAAGTCTATTGGAGGCAAATGTTACTATTTTGTTCTTGCATTTTCAAGGCTAATAGGCAAGCTATGGTTGAAAAGGGGCACGGGGAGCAGGGCACTGGCATGAGGGACATATACCATGCAAAACCATTTAAAAAAAATACCATTCAGTGGGGAGAGGGTCTTTTCATGCAACATTGAAAATGCACAAATCCTTTAAATAACATTTTTGGGGGATGCCTCAAAAATGTATGTGGTTTTATAAAAAAGGCTCTAACAACATAAAATAAAAGTCAATATATCCCCAAAATAAATAAAAGCTCCAAAGTGCTGCAGCCCTGAAACAAGCCCCCATTTTTGCAAGGAAAGCCTTATATATATAACGGACAGCATGTTGCCTGCTGACCTTAAATCAACCCCCAAAAATAAATCTAATTTAAAAAGGCAATAATAATAATAATAATAATAATACAGTAAAGTGGTGGATTGCCCAAATAGCAAGCAATCAACATTGAAGTACAATTTCCTAACTGATCCTAAATCTTTTCCTATGCAGTTTAACAGCTTTACCCATCCTTTCCCTGTAACAGCTTCAGCCACACCCCTCAATCATACAATTATCCCATTAAAGCACCTTAGTGTCTAATATTGTTGCTTTGATTGGTTTGTGTGATGGGCGGTGGCAGGTCACAGCTCCAGCATTCAAGCTGAAGTAGAGGCTTAATTTTATTTCATGCCCATCATGAATAGCACCAGGTCTACAGAGAAGGTCTTTCAGTTTTAACAAACATAATAGCATGCATGGTTTGATGCCAGTACTTAAAGCATATCTAAGCCCAAATCTTTTTTTGTTTTTGTTTAGGGTGAAGTGGTGAGGGGATAGAGTCGCTATCGGGTGTTTAATGCTATCTGACCATATACCCTCTATTTGTCTTGGTAACCACTGCTACCAGGTCTAAAAGTAAGGGAAAATCCAAAATTTTGAGTAGTCACCAGAACAGGGCTAGAGGAACTTCCTCTGGTGTCTACAAATGGGAAGGGAAGGGAAATCTCTCTAATGGGATACGTGACAAAAAAGTGTAGTTAAATCATTCCCTACTCGATGCATCTTCCATTTATCCTAACACTTTTAGAATATATACAATACTATTTTCCCCCAATCATTGTTACATTCACAGGATTACTTATTCTCTTGGCTATTGTTAAAATTCAGCGACAGATAAAACAAAAGTTTGGAGTTTTGTGTTGCTAAATGTATAAAGTAACACCGATAGCATCTAAGTAATATACGTAACATAAAATAGGCTCTAGACCCCTTTCATAATATTGTACAATAGCTTCGCTCCATTGACATATTCCAACTAATGGATTGAAATAATATATATTTGCATAGCACAGCAAGGGATTATGGGCAATCGAATGCAAATTATCCCACATCCGGCATCACTTTTAAACACCGGCCATTTTTAAAAGCCTTCGCTCTATACCTTAACATGGGAAAATGGATGAAAATTAGTCACTTTGACCTAAATGTTGTAAGAGAAAAGTTCTCAGCTTTAAAACCCCAAATATGTATAATTATTTACATACTTAAATGACTTTTTTTTTTCTTAAAGTGAAATGCTCCAGTTAATGGCACAATTTTGAAAAGTTGTTTGTTTTGATGGGAACAACAATGCATGTCTTTTCGAAGGCGCGATAGATTTCACAGATGCATTTAGCACTTTATGCATGATAGATTTTATTCCACTGAGTTTAATATCTCATCTGAATATAATTATTTTGCAGATTGCTCAGCTGAATGCCCTTATAAACATGCTGTTAGGGGAACTTACCCCCGGGGTGCGTCAGAAGATCATGACAATATGCACAATTGATGTTCATGCGAGAGATGTGGTAGCCAAGCTTATTGCACAGAAGGTAATTTAATGCAGAGCAATTACCCTAATGCATTTTTAAAAGCATGAAATAAAGAATAATTTCATTTGTTGAAAAGCTCGCCCCTGCCTATGTGTAAAAGTGACAGAATGTTTTGATGGAGTAATTTTTTTTGTTACATTCACATCTAGACAATTATATTTATGACTTTAAGAATTGGCAAATTTTCATGGAAAAAAAGGATTGTCTAAATGTTTAAGGATTATGCCAGTAATTGGATTTGCAACTTTTTAACATGACAGCTGTATTCATGTTTTGCTTCTGCGATATTGTTCTGAAAAACAATTCCAGTTAATAAATACTTTTCTTAACTTAAGACGAGGTAAGCAAGTTACTTCATTTGCTTACATGTAAAATAATTTTATAATTGCTCATGTGTCACAAGGAGCTTAATGGAATTTCAGTCTCAGAAGATTTGCTGTAAAATATGTTATGTCTATGATCACTGGTTTTCAAACGGGTCTCACAGTGCACATTCACATCAGTCCCTGCCCTAAGGAGCTTACATTCTACGGTCCCCATTTCACATGCATACATAGGAGGACCAATTTAGACAGGAACCAATTAACCTACCAGCATGTCTTTGGAGTGTAGAAGGAAACCGGAATACTAGAGGAAACCCACACAAGCACAGGGAGTACATGCAAACTGCTTGTAATAATATCAAAATGTTTTAAAGCTATTTCAAGCTATTTCAAATGGTGATTAAATAACTTACAACGGATACTACTCTTTGATACTTAAAAATTTTAATTTTCTAATTTTTAGAGCACTGGCCCTGATATCCTGTTTTAGGGTGGCTTCTTTCCCTTGCATAGTCCTATGCAGCCACCCTTGTGTGTGCTAGTAAGCTGTGTGTGTCTCCAGGCAAGCCATTCCCCTACCTCTTGCTTCCTGCTCCTCCCTTCCTTCTCCATGCTAGTAGATGGACAGCTACTGTAGACTGCTCTGTCCCTTGTGATCTTATACTGGGCAGGAAATTCAAAGAAGCTGAGCTGAGAGAGTTCGAGTCAACTGTATGGGAACATGATGACTGTAAGTGTTTGGTCAAAAATGTAAAGAAATACTTTGCTGGGCATTGCATATTTGTTTGGTCTGTTTGATTCATTATTGAAAAAAGAGTTTACTACTGATTTAAGAATTTGTTTCACATTATTCCTTTAAAAAATATTAATAATAAAATAAAATGTTATTTTGTTATAAGTATAGCACCAAAGAAAGCCACATTGTGACTCCAAAATAGTGTAATTTGTGTGTCATTACCAAAATCAGATACAATGTAACTAGCAGTTGAATCTCGGCTTTCCAAAATGTCAACATTTGCTCTAGCTGTGCAAGGGTTACTTGGAATGGGTGGAGCTTGTTTTCCTCCCTTCAAATTACTCTAAAACCTTTATCATAAAAAAGACAGTTACTACTACTCCAGAATGCCTCCTTTACAGCATATTGGTTTCTCCAAGGCCATACATTCACAGCAAACTCAGCCTCACCACCAAGTCTAACCTGTCAGTCCACATCATGGCACAGTCAGTTCAGATCACTCAGTGTCACTTTTTGATACTGCTTGACATTTTGGCCAATTTACAGAACTGAAAATATAATAATCCAGATTGTTACTACTAACAAAAGGGAAGATTGATGTTTCAGTATTAAAACGTTCAGAATCCAGCATGTAAATGAGAGATAAAATGTGCCCTTTATTTTGAAATATCAAGGATTATCTGTGTTTGGTATAGTACACTTTGAGCTGGCAGTCCACAATGCCTTCTTGGCAGCTTGCAAATGCCGTCATAATTTCAGAATTTAGCTGCCATGACACAAGGGCCGAGCTGGAAAGAGCGCTGCAATGAGCTGTGGAGTAACCGCATTATATGGTAATGTCTGCTACTGAACCATGCTAAGTGACACTCTATTGGAAAGGTGCTGACATTTAAATGGCGACTGTGGAACAAAAATATGAATATCTGCAATTGAAAGAAACTTCATGTCAGATGTCAGATGACAATATATTTTCAGTATCTGTATTCTGTTTAGAAAATACTTGCCCTATGTTGAGTCTTGCAGTGGTACCGGCTCCTCTCCTGTACTGTAATTGCTTAATCTGATTTTTTGCACAATGCAAGCTTCTCACAGTGTGCATTGAACGCTGCAGCAAGTCAGATAGCGCCTGCCCCATTTCATGGCTGGAGGACATCCAGAATCACATAGGCTTTTGCAGCTCGTCAGATAGAGCCTGCCCCATTTCATGGCTGGAGGACATCCAGAATCACCTATGCTTTTCCTCTTTTGCCTTACTGTCCCTGATGCACCCCTTTCATTCAGTGGACTTCAGTAATTGAGACTCATTATCACATGTGGGCATTATCTATGCAAATGCAGCCTGTCTAGAAATGTCCACTGCTGCAGAATATCACCCACCCATTAAGGCATTTTCATATTTGCACAACTCATCCCAAGAGCTAGCCCACTGGTTGCATCGGCACTGAGGGCTTTTGAAAGATGTACTGAGGCAAGGTGCTGTAATGTTTTCAGGAGGCTATGTACATTACCCCGCTGGCGCCTCCCACCAGCCTTGATCTGCCCACAAACATCCAGTGCATGTAATTAAAATGGAAAGTTTTAATTTAAACATTTATTAACATGCTGATGAAAGGGGGAGGTAGTAACTAGTGATGACAAAATATAGGCAGGCATCCAAGCAATTGTTCAAAAAATGGGAGATAGGAAGAAAGTGGATAAGATGCCATGAGAGAGACAGGTGTAAGCGTAGATTTATGTCAGAGGCTTGCAGTAAATGAATTGGTAGACCTTTAGTATATGTTAATGTCTGTAAGGTTGCAGGAAACCCATCCAGGGATCAAATAACCTAGTTTAGAAGAATATGTCTATGTCTGTCTCCATGCAAATATGATGGGTGGCTGCACTGAATGCTCATCGGGGTGTTCTGGATGATCATATACAGTACAGTACAGTACTGGGAATCGGATCCCAGTATGCAGTATAGTTAAAGATTTGAGCCCCAAGAAAAAGGAAACTGAGATCAGTAGAGACATCTGTGTGGATAGAAGAAGCTTTGGGTTGTTGTCTTCAAAAGATAGGTATTTATTGATCCTACTACAGAAAAGAAAACAGCATCAACACATCTCATGGTTCTAAAGTGGCAACTTCATCAGGACAGGTATGCAAGAACACTGAATAAAAGACAGAGGGTGAAGGAAAACGCCAAGCAGAATATTGTGTTTGAAACATAAAATATAAAATACAACAAATATATAAAAAGAACTGTTAGTATAAAGGGTGGTCAATATTAAAACAATGGTACAAATGAATAGTTAAAAATAAAAATGGGTAGATAGATATGAATTAAATCCATGTGATAAAATGTAATAGTACTGGTTATTTTCAGAGAGTTCACCAATGACTAACAGAGAAATGTATGAAATGATAAATCATATAATACTTAAACATTGTTTCTGGTTTATTCTAAACTGATGGTGATCTATAATTATGTTAAACTGATAACTGAATGATATAAGAACATGCTTGTTTTAAAAATATATATACCGGTATATATATATAAAAATGTGCTTGTTATAAATAGAAAGGATTATGTGATTTTGCAGAGCGTATATATAACATGTTACATGTAGCATGTAACATGGGAAAACTATTAGAGATATGTATATAAAAAAGCCAAATTGATTTTTTGTTTCATATTTTTATTGTATGATGTGCCAATTCATTATAATATTTTGCTTGCTTTTGATAATAAATATGAATATAACAAGATTGAATATACTGGTATGTGAAAACCTGTGCTAATGTAACCAGATTCCATCTAATCCTAAGTGATATTTTGTGGGTAAGCCTTTAAAATTGCTGCGCATACATGTGCTGCTGTGACATAGCGCATTCTGCGCTCCTGGACCGCGTGCAGTGGCCTATTAAAGGAGAGGGCGTGCGTTCCACCAAATAAATGTGCGCCACTGAATGTGCATGTGCAATGCGGTGGGTGTATAAGTGCTGTGAAAGGAGTACAAAGTTATTAGGTAACCCTACCTTAAAAAACAACATTACACATGATTTTTAGCTTGAATCTGGTTAACTTAGCACAGTTTTGCGCATACCAGTATTCTCACGTTTTTTATTATTTATTATCACTACAACAGAAGCAAACAAATTCTCCTCTCTATCGCCTATACCATTTTTTCCACTTTTTTTAGAAATACTAACCATTTAAATAAATACAACAGCAATATCACACAATACCATATAAAACAAACAATTAACATCCATTTGACTTTTTTTTTAATAAACATATCTCTAATTGCTTTCCCACGTTGTACATACTCTACATAATCACATAATCCTTTTTATGTATAATATTAAACACATCCTTTATCCTTTTTTATTATATATTTTTTTTATTAAACAGTCATGTTTTATATCTTTCAATTAGCAATTTAACATAATCAAAGCTCACCATCAGTTTAGTATAAACCATATACAATGATTCCATCACTTATCATCTCACATGCATTTTTCTGCATAACCAGTATATACAACTACATTTTGATCACCTGGATTTAATTCATACTTATCCACCCATGCAATGTGTTTGTCTATTTGGTTGTACCATTGTTGTAATAATAACCGTCATTTATACCAGCAATTCATTTTATATACTTGTATTTTTCGCCCTTAAGGTGGCCATACACTGTACAACCATCGCAAGACCTTAGTCTTGCGATGGTTGTAAAGTGATTAAAAAAACGTACGATCTGCCCATCTTGGACAGGCAGATCGCACTCTCGATTATCGCAAGCCCGCCCCCCTGGGCCGCGGGCTTCCGATGACCACAATGCTGAACGGGCAGTGTGCGCGTGCGCACACCGGCCCGTTCGGCATTTGTCTCCCGAGCACTGTTCAAACCAGCCGAAAATCGTATGATTCTCGGCTGGTTTTCGGTCGCACGGCAAAAGACGTGTGACCGTACAGTAGAAACGGTCGCACGTCTTCGTTCACACTGTTCGATTCTCGTACGATCGCGGGATTTCCCGCGATTCTCGTACGAGAATCGAGCAGTGTATGGGCACCTTTACCCTCTTTTATTCAGTGTTCTCGCACACCTGTCCTAATGAAGTGGCCAGTTTAAAACCATGAAATATGTTGATTTTTTTTTAAATTGTAGTAACCGGTAAATACCTACCTTTTGAAGAAAACACTCCACAGCCTCTACTTTCCTATGGAAGAGTCTGCTGACCTCACCTCCCGTTTTCTTTTTCTAAAGTCTGTTACCATAAAATATAATCAGATTAACTTAAGCTTTAAAAAGCTCTATTCAATATTATTCGGGGCTAATATTGACTTCCAAATAATCCTGTTGTGAATTTGAGAAAACTACAGCCCACTTTGAGTATTATCTATGCAGTCAATGCATTTTCACTGCAAAGGGACATGTAGACAGAGTTGGATGTTGTACCCACATGTCACAACTGAGAGGGTCATGACCAGCAGGAAAGCTTACATCCCACACAACTGGCCCTGCGCCGTCATGGAGACTGGCATAAGGGTCCAAATGCTGCTACAGTTCTGGTCACATACAGTATTCACATTTCCAAGAAGCCAGGCAACAGAAAAAGTATAAAGTTGAGGTTTGATGAGAAACACAGCTAAGTCAAGACAGATGGCAGATGTGAATCAGGACATTACTGTTGTTTGAAAACTAATCAAAAGCACATATATTTTAGAATGGGACAACTAAAATTGAAGGTCTTTAAATATGTTGCATTGAAGAGCTAATTGCCATAGACCCTTAGTACCAGCCAGACCAAACTTTTTGTTTTCTATCATTGTAAAATATTTGTATGTAAAGAAAAAGGGGCTATAAATGTACAGGGTCCAAGTGGGATATTTATTACTGCACCCTGTGTCGAGCACACCTAAGCTGCAGCAAACAGGATTTTCTTAAAAGCTCACCACAGCATTTGCAGAGTAAATAGATCCACTCCTTTTGACAATGAACTTTGCACAAAAATACTGAAAGGTGATGTACTACTTTGATTTCCTTCATTTACCTATGAATAGTGCTCACACACTGACATTTAGGACCTTTGTATATATCAGTATCTGTTATAAATGTTATATTATATTCTATTTATTTACTATTGCAGGTATCTAATGGACAGGCTTTTACTTGGCTGTCACAATTGCGACACCGATGGGATGAAGGCACCAAGGAGTGTTTTGTTAATATCTGTGATGCTCAGTTCCATTATTCCTATGAATATCTCGGTAACACACCTCGCCTGGTGATCACACCTCTCACAGACAGGTGTGGATAGAATAGTTGCCTCTTCAGTTAAGAATTAATGTGAATCAGTGTTTCCAGCACTTGTGCATTTTAACAGATGCAAGAGCAGAAAATATAATTTAATATTCTGATGCTGGGAAAACACAGACTTTTGCAGTGTAACCATCTAAGTGTTTCTAGGGATAGTGAGGTTTGGACCTATTCATGTCATACAAAAATCTTTTATTACCCATATCAGTGCTATCTTTTATTAGGTTTGGTAACATTTCCCCAATCTTTTAAAGCCTATTAAAGATTGACACAGCAGCACATGTCTTCTAAATATTGTACGAAGCAGGAGCCAAAGTAGGATCCATTTTCCAGACCAACATGCCCAAAATGCATTGTGCAGGAATTTCTCTCAACACCTTGCTACATAAAAGGATTTTTCTGCAACCATGCACTTTCCGTGTGCTGGAAAAAGCAGAATGCATGGCAATTAATCTGATACCAGTGACGTGCGGTACCTCTGGTTCCGGGTGAGGCATTCCCCAGTCTCACCCCCAGCACGTCCCGCCCCGCCAGCTGTAGCCCCGCCAGCTGAAGCCCTGCCCCCACTGACTGAAGCCCCACCTGCCGAAGCCCCACTGCCAATTCGGTCCCCAAGCTAGTGTAAAGGGAGGAGACAGGGAGGAGCCTCCCTGTCCCTCACTTGCTTGTCACTGCTGAGGCATCGAGATCGATGGCCTCAGTGGGTTTTTTATCTTTTTGATTGGACAGCTTGCACCAATGGTGCTTTCCCATTGGTCCAAGCCAACTACAGAGCTCGCTCCTCTAACAAAGAGTAGAGGCTGTGACAGCTCTTGCTTCAATAGTTAGGTAACACAAGCAGTGGGGAAGCCCGCTGCTGTGTAACTTAACTACCTGTCAAAAGCCGGACGCAGCGCTGCCTGTAATTAACAGGCAGTGCTCCGTCCATGACAGGATACGCAGTGGGGAGGCTTTCCCTTCTGTGTAACCTGATAGAAGCCGATCTCAATGGAGAAAAAGCTATCAGCTTTAGACTTGAAGCTGACAGCTTTTTCCTCCATAATACTAAGTGAGGCTCTGCCTTCCCTGCCTCCCCTGTCTGCAAGTCCCTGTCTGATACCAATCAGCCCACAAACAATCTGCATTGCCCATAGCAACCAGCCTATGCAGTAAGGGAACAAGAACAGCAGAACGTGACTGGCTGCTTTGGGCAGTGCACATAATTCTTTCCTGAGTCACATTCATAAATAAACCCAGTCTGCAGCTAGTGATATTTCTATTGTCATAAGTGATACTGATTTTTGTAGCTCCTCCCATTTCCTTCCACCTTTCCATTAAAAAGCTTTATGAAAGATTGAATTGAACACTTTTATCTAAACAGACTCAGATAGTAGGCCACATAGGCCTAGGGTAGCAAGATTTTAAAGGGAGGATCAGACACAATTCCCTTTTTTTGAATTACCCTTTAGGAAAATATGGAGGCTGCCATTGCTGACCTCATTCTGAAAATTCCTTTGTTTGGTTGCATGCTAATCCTTTAGCTTCAGTACTTTCAGAATCACTGACCCAGAAAAAGTATGTAGATTAGAATGTCAGTGATATCAGTATTCTTGACCTGCACACTTGCTCAGGGTTAGTGACTCTAGAGCTATGGAAGCTATTAGATTAGCATGACAGCCAGGAAGTAGATTTCCTTAATACAGGTTCTGTGTGCTCTTTTTTGTTTTGCTATTTTTGAATCATCTAAATAGGAGATTAAATTCCCCTCTGTATAAGACACATTTTTATATTATATAGATATCTAAAAAATTATATAAAACAAGTGAAGCAAAGTGAAATTTGACTCCGTTAGACTTTTGCTAATTTTTTAAGGAAGTTATTCGTTGAATTAATCATTGTTTAAATAAGATCTCTTTTAAAAATGCATACCTAATGGAATGATACATTTCCAGGTGCTACATAACACTGACTCAGTCTCTGCACCTGTCTATGAGTGGATCACTCTCAGGTCCTGCTGGAACAGGGAAGACGGAAACTACCAAAGACCTGGGCCGTGCATTGGGAATTATGGTGTATGTGTTCAACTGTTCTGAGCAAATGGACTATAAGGTATGATATAAACGTGTATTGACTTTTTCTAACCTCACTCTATTGAAAGTACCGATATGTAGGAGTGGATTGTCACGTAATGTGAACTATTGTGACAATCTAACTGTAAGGGCACTTAACAATCCCAGCTGATAAGAGCACATCACCAGGGGGGTCCTTCCTTCTGGGGGGTGGCTACTTTTGTTTCCCATGGTCCCTGTGTGTGTTTTGAATGAACTTGAAGTGGTGGCTACTTTACAACACAAACAGAGACCATGAAGAACAAAAGTAGCCACCCTGCAGAAGGAAGGACAGTGTCTGCACCAATTCAGAGATGATTTAAGAATCTACAACTGAGTGATAAGGAAAGAAAGTACATTATTGTTACTAGTTAATGTACTTGAATGCATTTCTAAGGTTTAACTACTGAGTTTAGTGTCATTGTAAAACCTGGGCAAACCTGGGAAAATAAAATCAATTGTGTGATGAAAAAATGGACAAGCAGAGATGGCCTTCAGTAAAAATGACAATCCATAAGAATCAGTAGATCAGAGCTATAGACACCTGAAGTTATGTTTGCTCCATCCCTCCCATCTCCCAGGCCTCCCTGTTATTCTACTGGTTCAGCAAAAACATTATTTGTGTACCTAAGTGAAAAGTATGCATAGATGTTTTTTTGGGGGGAGTAAATCCAAACCTAGGCTAAAAGAAGTAAAACATAAAATTGCATATTTTCTTGTATATTGAGTAATAGTTTTAGAGCAACCAATGTTACTGTAGATACAAAGTTACCACAGTGTTAATGGGACAATGGGACAAACCATGGTGAAATTATTTCCAAAAAGGTAGGTATTTTTTTTAAATGTTGGTTATTTTTTACTACAGTGCTACAAAATAAAGGAACAGGCAAAAATACAAAAACAATTGCATGTTACAGTATTAAAAATAATATGAGGAAATAAAAACTTGTTAGGAAGAAGGAAGAAAGAGTTGATCAGGTGTTCAACATGAAATAATTGAATTTAAATAAGATTTCAGTTTGTTGGTTGCTGCAGCTGATGTTGGAGATCAGAGGACAGAAAAATCCCATCTTCTTCATGAAAGGCTTCCTTCAGACAGAGCATACATGTGCGTGCTGGGTGCACGCCCGTAAATGGGATGATCCCGGGAGGGACAGTGTGCGTCCAAGTGCAGATGTCCGGACCCGTACGGATGTGCAAGTTCGGGTGTGCGGATGACGCACATCCGAATTACACGCTGCACATGTCCCTCCCAGGATTGGCTCATTTACGGGCGCGCCCGCTGCACGGACGTCTATACTACACTGCTAGCTCCAGGCTGGTATTATCTGTGAGTTTCAGTGAGGTGTCTGTTAAGGGAGAAGAAAAAGAGGCTGTTTGAGGTGCTGTAAATAATGATTACACACATATACAGTATTTATGCACTGAATATTATTGTTTTCATGAGATAAAACAAAGAACAGATTTAGTATAACCACTTCAGTGATTTGAGTCTGTTGCATATACTGCATCAATCATTGCTGCAACCAGTTTGTTTACAGACTATTAAAATGGGCCCCCACTTGGTCAATAAGTGGTTAAGCTCAGATAAGGAAGCACCACATATTCTGCTATGGAACATTTGTTTGATTGTGCACAATGAATGGGTAAAACAGTTATTTCAAGGCCTGATCTCTTCTGATGGAATGATCAAAAGCCTTAATGTTTTAGCATCTGAAGAATGAACATTAATGTTACAAATATTTATTCATTAGTCCTTAGGAAATATATACAAAGGCTTGTGCCAGACTGGAGTTTGGGGCTGCTTTGATGAATTCAACCGGATTTCAGTGGAAGTGTTATCAGTAATTGCTGTACAGGTCAAAACAATTCAAGATGCCATTCGGCACAACAAGAAAAGGTAATGTACTTTCTTTCCCTTTTTACGCATATATTATTGGTCTCTGCAAGCAGCACCAAAAAATCTATATACAATAATAAAATTCAACAGCCAACAAAAATGTCATGGAGTTATTCAATAAAGACTGAGGATATTTAAAATCTAGTGCAATGATCAAACAATGGGGTCTATTCACTACGCTGCCGTAGGCAGCCGAGTGAATGACCGACCTGAAGTGAAGTAAAAAAAAACAAACTCTCCCGCCCAGGAGAGAAACACTGCTGTGTCTTTCTTTTTCTTTATTCTGACACGGAACGATGTCAGAATAGAGAAGAATAAAAAAAAATTGCCATTGAAATACATTGCTACATTACTATTGGCTATTTTAATCTCATAGATGCCGAACAGCAGTGAGTGAATAGCTGAATGCCGCTGAGCGGCATTCGGCTCAGCTGTTCTGCTCGGCCCCTCAGAGGGACCGAGCAGAACAGAAAAAGAGTTAAAAAAGTAAATAGAAAATGATTGACAGCTAGCTCCGCCCAATAGTTTCCTATTGTCCGGCGGCTCTGCTGCCGTCAAAAAAAAACCTAAAAAAAACAAACTCTCCCGCCCAGGAGAGAAACACTGCTGTGTCTTTCTTTTTCTTTATTCTGACACGGAACGATGTCAGAATAGAGAAGAATAAAAAAAAATTGCCATTGAAATACATTGCTACATTACTATTGGCTATTTTAATTTGCAATAGCCAATAGTAAACTAGCATTGTACCCGCCCTCTGCTGATGGACCTGATGGAGAACTGCAGCAGAGGGCGGGTACAATGCTAGTTTACTATTTGCTATTGCAAATTGAAATAGCCAATAG